GGGAAAAATATCAACAGAGATTAACACATATCATTAATTCTAAGATACAGATTTTTTTTCACATTTTAACATCTCTGAAAGGAGGATTTTTAAAATACATGTAGCTGTTGGTGTCCTGGAATTGAGTCATAATTTAAATGGCAGCATTTAAAAACTTGGGTGATAAATAAAGTAACAGTGTGTTATGGGTTGGATCACGTCCCTCTAAAATTTGTGTGTTGAAGTCCTAACCCCCAGTACCTCAGAATGTGACCTTATCTAGAAAGAGGGCGGTTGCAGATGCAATTAGCTAAGATGAGGTCACACTGGGGTAGGGTGGGCCCTTAATCCAATCAGGCTGGTGCCCTTATAAAAAGGGAAAATTTGGACACAGACAGGCACACAGGGAGAATGTCATGTGAAGATGAAAGCAGAGATTGGGGTGATGCTTGTACAAGCCAAGAAACACCAAAGATGACCAGCAAACACCCAATGTGAGGGAGAGGCCTGGCACAGGTTCTTCCTCCAGCCCTCAGAAGGAACCAGCCCTGCCAGCACCTTGGCCTTGGACTTCCAACCTCCAGAACTATGAGGCCACAAATTTCTGCTGTTTAAGCCACCTGGTTCGTGGTGCTGTGTTAAGGCAGCGCTAGCAAACAAACACAAGACGCATCTTAGGTTTCGTGAAATACAATGTATGTAATGCTGCATCCAATAAAGTATAGACTATATATATTTTCCAAGCATACATGGAATATTTACAAAAATTAAATGTATACTGAGAAATACAGCAATTTTCAATGAATTTTAAAGAACAGAAATAATACAAAGTATGATCTCCAATCATAATGTGGTTTTCTAGAACTCAAGAAGATTTTTGAAAATAAGGAAATATACTACTAAGTAAACCATAGGTCAAAACATAAATAATAATGTAAATTATAAAATATTTTTAAGCTAAACTATCAAAAAATTACCTGTCAAAACTGATGGAATGCAGTTAAAGCAGTATGTAGAGGAAAGTTTGTAGCCTTAAAGCATATATTAGAAAAGAAGAAAGTAGGCAGGCCCAGTGGCATGGTGCTTAAGTTTGTGCGCTCTGCTTCAGTGGCCCACGGTTCACAGGTTTGGGTCCTGGGCGCAGACCTATGCACGACTCATCAAGCCATGCTGTGGCAGCATCCCATATACAAAATAGAGGAAGATTGGCACAGATGTTAGCTCAGGGACAATCTTCCTCAAGTGAAAAAAGGAAGATTGGCAACAGATGTTGGCTCAGGGCCAATCTTCCTTACCCCAAAAAGAAAAAGAAAGAAAAGAAAAGAAAAAAGGGTAAAAAGTAATGAGTTAAGTAACCAAAGACTGTAGAAGGATGGAAAAATAAATAGAAAAGCAAAAACTAATGAAATAAAAAAGAAACACAACGAATCATGTATCTGATAAGGGATTAATATCCAGAATATACAGAGAACACCTAAAACTCAACAATGATAAAACATACAAACTGATTCAAAAATGGGCAAAGGACTTGAATAGATATTTCTCTAAAGAAAATATACAAATGGCTAACAAGCACAAGAAAAGATGACTAATCATTAGGGAAATGCAAATCAAAACTACAATGGGGGCAGGCCTGGTGACACAGCGATTAAGTGCACATGTTCTGCTTCAGCGGCCCGGGGCTCGCTGGTTCAGATCCTAGGTGCGGACATGGCACCACTTGGAAAGCCATGCTGTGGCAGGCATCCCACATAAAAAGTAGAGGAGGATGGGCACGGATGTTAGCTCAGGGCCAACATTCCTCAGCAAAAAGAGGAGGATTGGCAGCAGACGTTAGCTCAGGGCTAATCTTCCTCAAAAAAAAAAAAAAACTACAATGAGTTACCACCTCACACCCATTACTATGGTTACTATGAAAACAACAGAAAAATATTGGTGAAGATGTGGAAAAATTGGAACCCTATGCACAATCAGTAGGAAAGTAAATTGGTTCAACGGCTGTGGAAAGAAGTATGGTGGCGTTTCCACAAGAAAATTAAAAATAGAACTACCATATGATCCAGCAATTCCATTTCTGAGTATACACCCAAAAGAATTGAAAGCAAGGTCTTAAAGAGATATTTGTACACCTGTGTTTGTAGCAGCATTAGTCACAACAGCTAAAATGGAGAAGCAACCCAAGTGTCCACTGATGGCCCAATGAATAAGCAAAATGTGTTGTATACATACAATGGAATATTATTTAGCCTTAGAAAAGGAGGGAAATTCTGCAATATGCTGCAACATGGATGAACCTGAAGAACGTGATAAGCGAAATAAGCTAGTCACAAAAAAGACAAATACTGTATATTGAATGAGATACTTAGAGTAGTCAAAATTATAAAGACAGAAAGTATAATGGTGTTTGCCAAGGGGTGGGGGGAGGGAAAAATGGAGAGTTATTGTTTAATGGGCATAGAATTTCAGTTTTACAGGATGAAAAGTATTCTGGAGAGGGATGATGGTGATGGTCGTACAACAACATGAATGTATTTAATATCACCGAACTATGCACTTAGAAATGGTTCAGACAGGGGGCCGGCCCCATGGCCAAGTGGTTAAGTTGCTGTGCTCTGATTTGGTGGCCCAGGGTTTCACCAGTTCAGATCCTGGGAACGACATGGCACCACTCATCTGGCCACGCTGAGGTGGCGTCCCACATGCCACAACTAGAAGGACCTACAGCTAAAATATGCAACTATGTACTGGGGGGCTTTGGGGAGAAAAAGGAAAAAAAAGGTTGGCAACAGATCTTAGCTCAGGTGCTAATCTTTAGGGAAAAAAAAGGTTAAGATAGTAAATTTTATGTCGTATATTTTACCACAATAAAAGAATTTTTAAATTAATGAAATAAAAAATAAACATAACAAAGCTAACAGAGAGATACAAAAGAATATATGTATGATTTCACATATATAAAATTCTAAAATGGGCAAAATTAAACTTTACTTTCTTTTTTTTTGAGGAAGATTAGCCCTGAGCTAACATCTGCTGCCAATCCTCCTCTTTTTGCTGATGAAGACTGGCCCTGAGCTAACATGCATGCTCATCTTCCTCTACCTTATATGTGGGACGCCTACCACAGCATGGCTTGACAAGCTGTGTTAGGTCCGCACCCGGGATCTGAACCAGCGAACCCTGGGCCACTGAAGTGGAACGTGCGAACTTAACCACTGCACCACTGGGCTGGCCCGTAAATTTTACTTTTTAAGGATGGTTATCTAGAAGGAAAATCTGTAATGCCAAGCAAGGAAGTGATTACCGTAAAAGTCACCATAGTGATGACCTCTATGGGAGGTAAGAAGTTGTGATTAGGTCCAGGAGGACACAGGAGATAATTCAGGAGTATTGATTATGTTCTATGTCTTGACCTGGAGCAGTGGTTACTATAATTTCTCAAACTGAGCATTTATTTAATTTATGTTTTAGTTTGACTTACGGAAAAGTTGCAAAAATAGTACAGACAGTTCCCATACATTCTTCACCCAGCTTCTCCTTTGGTTAATATCTTGCATAACCATAGTACAATTATCAAAACTAATTAACGTTGATATAATGATAGTAGGTCAACTACAGACTTTATTTGAATTTTACCGCTTTGTCCACTAATGGCTTTTTTCTGTTGCAGGATCCAATCCATCACATCGCACTTAATTATCATCTCTCCTTAGTTTCCTTTAATATTGTCACGGTGCCCTCAGTCTTTCCAAAGTCTTTCAGAGCCTTGGCACTTTTGAGGAGTACTCGTCAATTATTTTGTACAATGTCCCTCAATTTGGGTTTGTCTGATATTTTCTTACCCTTAGATAGAGGTGGGACATTTTGACAAGCATGCCACAGAAGATGAACCTTCTCAGCTCATCGTATCAGGGTACACAATGTCGATATGGTTTATTATTGGTAATGTCAACTTTGATGACTTAGTTATAAGCGTATGGTGTCTGCTGGGTTTTCCTCTGTAAAATTATTATTTTTACCTATATAATTAATTTATCTTGAGGGAGATACTTTGAGACTATGCAAATATCCTTTCTCTTCAAATTTTCACCCACTAATTTCACCGTCCACTGTTGAGCCTTGCTGCAACAATTATGCCACTGGTGTTTTAATGGAGGTTTTCTATTTCCCTCATTCCTTCAAGAATTGCTAGTTGCAGTTCTTCTGCAAGGAAGAGCTGTCCTTTCTCCCCATTTGTGTGCTTATTTTGATGCACTTTACTGTAACACACTTTTCAAGCACACGTGGAACATTTACAAAAATTAAATATATTCTGGGAACTACAACAAATCTCAGTGAATTATAGTAGTTGCCGTCGTGGTGCCCTGCCCAGATTCCCTTTACCGGGCCATACACCCATTCTCAGCCACTTAGGGGTGATGCTAACAGCTCACAGATAGCCCGTTCCCCAGAGAATGGCCCTCAGTCAACAGGGGGCTGTTTTGCTGGAGAAGTTACACCATCCCCTAACCTTGGGCAGCCAAAAATAATTGAGTGACGTGGACTTACAAAAGGCCAATCCCTTGCCTCAACAGTGCGACCAATTTTGTGATGTCGCTCATCCTCTAGAGCTCCCGGGATCAGGCTGAGGCCGACTCTCACAGAGACCGCATCCTTGCTTGGCTTTCTTCCCCTGCCCTCTCCGGCTTCCCTCTCTCCCATTCCTTCTCCTGAGAGCACTCTCTCTATAAATTGCTTGCACAAGAACCGCCATCTCAAGCTCAGCTTCTAGGGAACCTGACCTAAGACAGTTATAGTTCCTGATCTCTGAATTCCTTCTGAATTATTATTGTGTATGTGAGGAAGGGGGAGGGGTTGGGGGCTCCGGGGGGAAAGGGCCCCTTTTCTCCTTTACTCAGGATGAGAAAAGTGAAATGGCAACATAAATATGGGATGTGGCCTTAAACTGATATATCTACTGAAAAAAAATCAGGAAAGAAAGATAAAAACCTGGAATCATCAGGCTCATACATACCATTCACAAAAATAAAGTTTGCTTTATTTACAAGCTGAGAGATTACACTCTCTGTTCTCCTGGCTTCTGCCCAAATCTTCCCCAGGCGTGCCCCCAGGAGCCCCTTGCACCCGTTGCTCACTAACAGAGCCCGGGACTGGGCCATTCTCCTTTGGGTCCCTCCTTTTTTCGGGGTCCAAAGCCTTCTTTTCCTCCACCGACTTCTTCCTCCTGCGGCAGCAGCTACACAAGTATTGACGCAACTCGGCCAAACTCCAGCGGGACGACTGGGTCTTGAGAGTGAGTATGCTCGAGCTACTTTCCAAGGTGTTCAAGTGCTCCTTTTGCCTCAGTTGGCAGGTTCTTGAGTATGGGTATTGCTTCCGTCTCATCCTAGGAGATCGCAGAGAAGCAGAGGACTCCTCTGCCTCGTCGTCCTCATCCTCCTCATCTTCCTCCTTCACCTTGTTTCTCCTCATCCGGACAATGGCAGCCTTGTTCCGCTTTGGCCTCTTGGACTGAGCAAGTTTGGGATCTTCTTCCTTGGGGAGTCCGAGAGCAAGGAATGAAGTGTGCTCTCCACTGACCCATCCCGTTATATATGGGACTTTGCGTCTGAGTGGGGGAAGTAAGGCAGAGAAGGACTGAGATCAGAGGGAAAGCTGAAGCCAAGCACCCACCTGTGTGTGAGTACAGAGTGGACAGCACAAATGATGAAAGACTGCCTCACTTGGAACAGACACTCACTTAAAATTACTAAAGAGAAGTTACGAAGCAGTATCTGCAAAGGATGCACAGCATATTCGGAATGCATTAGAAGAGAGCTCATCATCTTGAAAGGATCCTAATGCAAATTCTTCGGTTAAATAAAGACTCATTTTAGAAGGCATAAAATAACTCTCTAATTTATCTGTTCTAGAAATCGTGGTTGTTCATATTTGGGAATGATGGACATGTGTCTTATCTAGATTGTAGTGACGGTTTCACGAGTATGTATATATATATATATATATATATATATGTCAAAACATCAAATTGCTTACTTTAAATATGTGCAGTTTATTGTGTGTCAATTATAGCTCAGTAACAAAAAACACGGCTGGCATTTAAACCCTCCGTCAAATAAACAAATAAAAAGTTCATATATCAAGTGTGTTTAACAGCACATAAATGTTGAAAGGATATCATGGAGGACTAATAAAAATGGGGTAGCTAACTGGGAGGCAGTTCTGTGTGTGAGGTCTCGAGTTAGACACACTGAGCTCAAACTCTGTCATCTCTGCTTCGTACTTCTGTGATCTTGGGAGAGTTTTTAACTGGCCTATGCCACAGTTTCTTCACCCAAAAAATGGGGATAATAATAGTATCTACCTTATAGGATTGTTATGAGGTTTAAATCAGATATAAGTTCTTCTAACAATGGCATGTAGTACGTGCTCAATAAATATAAGTTGTGGTTACTATTATTGTTGATATTTTTTTCTGGAAGGAGTAAATTTGAGCCACATTTAGTAAGAATGGGAATTGGAAGGCTGTAGAGAAGATATGGAAGGTTGCCACGGGACATCTTAGGGGAGGTCAGTGAGCTAAAATGCCCATATGGTGGTAGAGCAAGGTGTGCAAGCCCCCAGAGGAGGGAGGGTGCAGAGTGGGGTACTCACGCTGGTCAAGTCCTGGCTCCCTTGGTAGCCTAGGTCATCAGTGAAGCTGTAGATGGATGTCAAGGATACATCAAAGTTGTTCAAGGAGGGACTTTCTGCCCCTGAGGCTCCCCAGGCTTCTTTGGTCTCCTAGGGGGAGAAGAAGGAGAGGTCAGTTAGGAGTGGAGCAGCTCCCACCAAGCAGAACTTCAGATACCTCCCTGCCCTGGCTCCTGCCTGTGACCCATCCCTCCCTCTTACCTTGAGAGTTGAAGATAAAGACACATTATCTTTCTTCTTCATTACCATACAGTTCTATGATCACTAATGTGATGAGACTCTGGGGTGTCCCCTCCCTCCCTCACCACACACTCACAATTCTTTAGTCCCCATGTTCTCACAGAAGTGGTTGTCATAGCAATAGGAGGGTGGGGTCTCATGCCCATAGGTTCAAGGAGGGCGCCTCTGAGGGGTGTGAGAGGGCTCACGCGTGCACACACACATACACCTCCTTCTTCACTTTTCAGCAAGAGGAGGCTGGATATGCTCCACTCCCTCCCCCGCAACCCCTATCAGGGCTAATAGAAAGAAGACTGGCATTAAAAAGAGAGGCTGTGGTCAAATTCTGAAAATGGGACAAAACTCCAAAGGGCATCAAGATATGGCAGATGTAGATTCTGGAATCCTTCTTGGAATTTGCACGTGCTGGAGAGAAATTTGGCACGAAACAGAAAATAGTCCACCATCAACTTCAGGTGATCGGGTCTGTCTGAATTTTCAAGGGATCCAAGGACTTATAATGGACCCTTCAGTGTCTGTTTCAAGAGCCTGAGCTCTGTCTGAGCCTTCTCTCCCCTTTCTCCTCCCATCCTCTCAGTGTGGGGAGGCAGTAGCCACGGTTCTGTCTTCCACACATTTCTCTTCTCTCTCCACACTCTCCCTGGGAGAAGATCATTTGGTTTAGTCTGCACACATTTATTGATCAAATGCAACGCTGCAATCCATGATCCTTGATAGGATCCTAGGTTTTATTTTTTAAAGTCATAAAGGGAATTATGGGGAAAATTGAATATGGACTGTGTATCAGAAAATAGTATTATATCAATGTCAAAACTTCCTGGGTATGATAATGTTATTGCGGTTCTGGAAAAGAATGTGCTTGTCCTTGGGAGATACATGCTGAAGTACACAGGGGTGGAGTGTCATGATATGTAAATTTACTCTCAAGTGGTTAAAAATATATATATGTGAATGTGTAGTATATATGAATAATATATACACATATTAATTTATGCAGACAGAATAAAGCAAATGGGCAAAATGTTAGCAGCTGGTAAATCTAAGTGAAAGGTATACAGGTATTAATGGAACCATTCTTTCAAGTTTCTATGGGTTTGAAGTTTTTCAAAATAAAAAATAGTATGTGGGGCACTTATTGACCACCTACTGTATGCTAGGCAATGTTCTTGGCTCTTGTAATCTGGCCTTTTTTTCCCCAGCCTCCTGTCTGTTTCCAGCCAAACCTGGCTGCTTCATGGTCAGCAGCAGTGCTGTTCTCCCACCACAGCTCAGTTCTGCTCAACGACTATTTTTAGGGTAGCCATTCAACAAACTCAAGGTTGTCTCTGCCCTCTGGATGCTCACAATCTAGTGAGGAGACAGACTTGGCAACAACTCATCTTACTGCAGGCTGGCGGCTGCAGTAGCTGAGCAGGAGCCCAGAGCTGGAGCTCGCCAATGCTGCCAGTTATCTATTCCCTAGTGTCTGGGAGAAAGAATGGTGGGCACAGTTCATTATCCGAAAGAAAACAGACCCACTAGTAGCTGGTCATTAACACACACAGACTTCTGGCCTGGGAGGTGGGACTTACATATATTCACTTTCTCCCAAAGGATAACTTCTGGAGTCAGCCTGGAGCAGATACTTGGAAGTCCATTTTACACAAAGGGCCCTTCCCTTTTCCTTATTTACCTTCAATCCTTCCTCTGGGGCCCTACTTCTTCCTGCTGCTGCCCCTTGTGGGAAGGTGGAGGAGATCACTCTTTCTAACTCCTTCCTGGGGGCCTCACAATGAATCAAGTCCTGTCTTCCTCAGTGTGGCATCTACAAACCAACCAACCAACAAGCTGCTCTCTTGCTCATAGAGACTGTCTCTCAGAGCACCAGGATGATGTGCTCTTATGCTCAAATAGCTCCTCTTTACTAGAGATGAGGGCGGAGGAGGAACATAAGGGTGAAGGGACTGTGGGGGACACAGAAGTCCTTCATACCACACTCTCCTACGGTTGGATCTCTTTGAGCCCTCAAAGTGGGAATTCAGCTTCCTTCCAGCTTAATGAGTTGGGAGACTGTGGGAAGGAAGGGGAGCACCCTGTGCTTTGTACACTCAGAAGCATCTACCACAAGGAAGGTGTCTTCCCTGGGTTCAGGCATTCAGTGGAATCAGTCAAGAGCTGGGCATTTTCTGGAAATCGCTGGGAGCTGTCCTATATCCTGTGCTCCAGACCCTCAGTTCTCCCAGTGATGAGGAGAAGTGTTGTTTCAGAAGAAAAGCAGAGGAAAGGCTTTCTGAATATCAAGACCATGGGCTTTTCTTAATACAAAGCCAAAGGCCAGAGATGTGTCAGAATACACAAGAACCATGCTGTCCAATACACTAGCCAAGTGTGGCCATTCCAACTTAAGTTGAAATTAGTTAAAGTGAAATAAAACTAAAAAATTCAGCTGCATGGTCTGACCAGTCACATTTCAAGTGCTCAATAGCCTCATGTGGCTGGTGGCTACCATATTAGACAGTGGAGATATTAGAGAACCTTTCCATTAGCACTGAAAGTTCTATTCGACAGTGTTTCCTTAGGAGAAAAAGGCAGGGAGTTTTGTCTGTTTTGTCCACTACTACTGCCCTAGGGCCTAGATCTGTGTCTGGCACAAAGGAGAGGGATCTGTAAATTTTTGTTAAATGAGTACTAGAGAAGTTAGAGCCAGTTTTCCATCACGTCTATCCCTTCACCCAACTGATCTCAGCTAGATAGAGTCTGCCCAGATTGGGGAGGAAGAAAAGAAAGAGGAGAGAACTGGAGAGAGGATTGTAGTCCTCCATGGATAAACCCCTGAGAAGAGCTCTGAGGCTCTGGCAGCCTCCCTGCATTGTGCTCTGACTTAACTCTGTTGTGGGTTTAAGGGAGGGGAGCAAAGAAAAAACCCAAATAGGTTGGTGAATCCAAGAGCAAGAAGAGTCTCGTGCCTGGTCCCAAAGCATGCAATGGATTGCACCAGAGTTTCTCCACATCCCAGCTTGGGGCTGGAGCCAAAGAGCGGTCAACTGGGATGTGCCCAGGTAGGGAGTCTGAGACATCCTTTAAGATCCCTGCTCACCCCAGGTTCTAGCCTGGTTTGCAGGATTCAGGAGTGACTTTGAGTAGCAAGGAAGAGGTGAAGGGCTTTGGAGAGCCCAACTGAGTTCCCTGTGGCTCCAGTGAGGTGTGAAAAGTGGAGGGAGGGAAAGGGAGTGAGGCGCCATGCCTGGGGAGGCCTCGGGATAGGCCGAGGGGTGGCAGCTGTGCTCTGAGAGAACTCACAGCCTGAGAGCAGACAGGATCTGGAAATCTTAGTAGATGCCAGAGAGAAAAAGTATTGATGACCAAGCACGAGAAGTCCCCTCCCCCATGCCCCATGCCTCTGGCACATCAAGAGCCCTCTAGAAAATTAGAGGCACCTCTGGAGAAAATGGCTGAGGAGTCCCTGCCTTAACATTCAGTTCTTGCTACCTGATGGAAAATGGGCTGGAAACGGAAATTAGGTTTGATTTTAGAAAAATAAGGAAGTTCACATTTCTTGGACATCTAAATTTGCATCCTGACATTTATACCTGCTACATCAGTATTGTTTGATTTTGCTCAATGAGAATATAAGCATGTATTATTTATGTAAATTAAAAATGAGGAGGCTGGCCCCGTGGCCGAGTGGTTAAGTTCTCGAGCTCTGCTTCTGAATCCTGGCCGAATCCGTGCCAGTTCAAATACTGGGCATGAAAATGGCACCGCTCATCAAGCCATGCTGAGGTGGTGTCCCACATGCCACAACTAGAAGGACCCACAACTGAAAATACACAACTATGTACCGGGGGAGTTTGGGGAGAAAAAGGAAAAATAAAATCTTAAAAAAAAAAAATGAATGTGTTGTATGATTCTACTTATATGAGGTACCTAGAGTAGTCAAATTCATAGAGACAGAAAATAGAATGGTGGTTGCCAGGGGCTGGGGGAGGAGAGAATAGGGAGTTAGCGTTTCATAGATATGGAGTTTCAATTTAGGAAAATGAAAAAGTCCTGGAGATGGATGGTGGTGATGGTTGCACACAATGTGATGTACTTAATGCCACTGAACTGCACACTCAAAATGGTTAAAATGGTAAATTTAGTGTTGTGTGTATTCACCACAATTTTTCTTTTTTTAAAGATTTTACTTTTCCTTTTTCTCCCCAAAGCCCCCCGATACATAGTTGCATATTTTTAGTTGTGGGTCCTTCTAGTTGTGGCATGTGGGACGCCACCTCAGCATGGCTTGATGAGCAGTGCCATGTCTCCACCCAGGATCCAAACCGGCAAAACCCTGGGCTCCTGAAGCTGAGCGCGCGAACTTAACCACTCGGCCATGGGGCCGGCCCCAAGGCTCTACTTCTAAGTGCCTGCCTAGCCACCAGCCAACAAGCAGCTTGCTACTTCCTTTGCAGCTTAGCCACACGCTATCTTAGTTGCCCTCATGTTGCAGATCCCAAAAGAGAGGTCAGTAAGCAGCTTGGGCTTTATCTTAAACACCAAGAAACAGGGCATGAAACCAGTGACACCACCCAGGAGGCCCAGTAGCTGCCCTAGGTAGCCTTACACTGGCTATGCATGCCTCTGTTCCTGGCACACAGTTCCCAGCACTTCTAACAAAGTTCTACTCAATCTCTTGGTCTGGGGTACCCTTGAGGATGGCAGGAAGCCATTTTATTCTTTTGAAAGTCTTTCAACAGAAACATTTCCCCTAGCAATTGACTCCCCAAATCTCTCCTCTAGGCAGAATAGATTCCAATAGGGAGACTGTAAACAGAGATGATGTGTCTTTAACAGTCCATGCCTTGTCTGAGACTTTCTGATCCACAGTGAGATATGTCAGGGTCCCGAGGGTGAGAAGGTCTATTGTCACAACATTTTCCTGTGTTCTCTCCGGTTCTAGAGAAAGAAAAACACAATTTATATTAATTGCAAGGGATTTGCTAGGCAGATTCACTTGGATATAGGGAACTTTGGTGAACAATGTTTTTCATTGACTATATTAAGTGTAAGTGTCATATTTTGTCTTAGCTTGGGTGTCTTTCCTTCCCAAATGTCCAAACCCCACATGTGCTACCCAAAGCACCAAGAGGCAGTATTTCTCAGGCAGTGCTAACTGCTTTTTAAGAGGACGTTATAATTAAAATGAAGAACTCTTATTTATCAAAGAGACAAAATTAAGAGAATGAAAAGACAAACCACAGACTGGGAAACCACATGCTAACCTCTTTCAGAGCACTTAGGACGGTGTCAAAATACTCTGCTTATCTATCCCTCCCCCTACCCCCAAATTCAGCAGGTTACAAACTCTTCCAAGGCAAGTGTTATGTCTCATACATATTTGTTTACCCGGGAACTAGCAGAGGGCTAGTGATAGTACGTAGTCAACAAAGATTCTTTGAACTTCAATAACTTGCACTGATCGAAAGTCCTAAAGTGAGAAAGTGGGCAAGAGGGAGTGGTCTGTCTGGCTAAAGCAGAGGGGAGAAGGGACTACAGTGAAAGGTCTTCACTGTCAGACAAAGAAATTGGATTTAATTCCATTGACAAAGGGAAGCCACTGAATTTTTTTGTCTTTTTGAGGAGCGCTTGACATCCCATTTGCCTTTTTACTGTAGTCGCAAGTATATCTCATTCCCACCATTAGCTTCTAAACTGCGTGAGGGCTAACACCATGCTCTACCTTTGTATCTCCCACAGTGACTATCACAGTGCTTCACACATAATAGGTGCTCAACAATTCAATGCTAAATGTATCAGTGAACGAACAAGTGACCCAACTGGATGGAGTAAGGGCAGGAGAAGTGTCAATGCATAAACGGGCAAAGTAAGAATGAAGACGTTTCTCTTCTGAATCCAGAGTGGCTGTTTTGTACGTGTCTAGACTGTGCGTGCTGAAGATGTTCCTTTTGGGTTCAGCTGAGTCTGAGAAACAAGAACACTCACACTTTGCATCTTTCCAATCCTGGAGAAGTTGCTATAGAAAACAATGCTTTGGAAAGAATTGAAAAGTCCTGCAATGAGCAGGTGTTTCTTGAGTACCTCCTGTGCGCTCAGCATCGCTGTAGGGCCCTTGGATAAGTGTACACTAGAGAAACACACCTAATCAATAAAGTAGTTTTGCAGACCAGAAACAATTAGAAGAAGACACGATACACTGTGGAGCTGTAAAAGAGCAACGTAGTCTGGCAAAGCCAAGGAAGGCTTCCCAGAGGGGATGAGACCAGGACCGGGCCTGAAGGATGGGTTGGATTTGGATAAGGAAAGAGAGGCTGTAGAGCATTTCAGGGAAACCACACACAAAGGCCTGAAGGAGGAGCAGATTGGAGGTGATGTGTAGCATAGTGGTGATTATTCATTCCTGGAGTACCCTCTGTGTGCTCAGCCATGACACTAAGCAATGAAAAACAGACAACCTGTCCTCAAGGAGCTCGAGTCTGGGAGGTGGGGAATGGAAGGACAGATACTAAAACAAATACAGGTGATGTATGTGTATTATTTCACAAGAATGTAACCCAAAGCAAAAACCTTATCTGTCCTGTTCATCACTGTATTCTCAGTACCTAGACAGTGACAAGTACAAATTAGGTGATCAGTAAATGCATACTGGAGGAAGGAACGGTACGATGGAGATAGAGAATAATAGTAATATTGACAGATACCATTTATTGAGCACACACACGTGCCAGGCCGTATGCTAAGAATTTTGCATAGATTATCTTAACTGATCTCCCAATATATATATATATTTTTTTGAGGAAGATTAGCCCTGAGCTAACACCTGCTGCCAATCCTCCTCTTTTTGCTGAGGAAGACTGGCCCTGAGCTAACATCTGTGCCCATCTTCCTCTACTTTATATGTGGGACACGTGCCACAGCATGGCTTGCCAAGCAGTGCCATGTCCACACCTGGGATTAGAACCCTGGGCTGCCCAAAGTGGAACGTGCGCACTTAACTGCTGCGCCACCAGGCTGGCCCAATCCCCCAATATTTTGAGAGTACTATAATTATCTCATTTTATAGATTTGGGAACCAAGGCTTTATACAAGTAACACTTGCCTCAAGGTTACCTAACTAGTAAGTGACAGAACTGACACTTAAATTCATGACTGCCTAAATTTTCGGTCCATCCTCTGAACTTAGAGTCTACTCTTCAAAATGCTGTTTTGGGAAGTTTGTCTAGTAGCTGATTGAAAAGTGCAGGGAAAGACCTAAGATAGGGAGACTACTGCAGTAAAAATAGCATATAGTAAGGAGTATGAAATAAAGCAGTTATACGGGGAACGCAGAGGAAAGGATCTAGTTTTTCAGCACCTCAAAGGGCTTCTAAATAAAGCTCAGCGTTTGGTGACTTACTGGATCTAGAGGATGACTAAATTTCTCACCTGGGAATAGCAAGAATGCTGGTAGCCCTGAGAGAAATAGCTTTTCCCTAATTCCTAACTCGACAGTACACTCCAAATAGATGATCCAAATCTCTACGTTTGCCAGTTCTGCAAAGCACCTAATCAGGTGCCGATCACATACAGTAACGGCAACCCAGCTTGAAAAGCCACGGAAGAGGGCAGAATAAGAAAACCGTGGAGGCCGCACAGACAAGGCGGTTTTAGGACCTCTCGCGTCCAAGAGGCGGGCGGGCACTACAAAGGGAAAGGTGGGGCTTGTTCAAGAACTACAAATCCCAGAAGGCATCGGGCAGACTCCCAAGGTTTCCGGCCAGAGCTTATTTCCGGTCTTTCGGGTGCTGACGTTCTCTTCCGGTCGTGGTGGCCGCCGAAAGGCCCTTGGGTTCCCCATGGTGAGTCCAAAGGCTCTGGAGATGCGAGCGGGAGCAGGGGCGTCTCGTGTCCGCACATCACCCAGCGGCTGAGGGTTATCTCGGGGACGGCGGGTACGGGAGAGGGCGCGCCAGCGGGAAGACGTGTAATCTTGACAAGACGGGGGAGGGGGCAGAACGGACGGAGCCCCCGGAGGGACCTAGAAAGGGATGTGGGGGGCGAGGAAGAATTCCGGGGCAAGAATGGAGGGTGGGGTACCGGGGCGTTGGGGAGGACCCCGCGGGCACGCGGGGCGATCCCAGTGGAGCTGGGCGGAGGAGGAGAGGAGCAGCGGAAAGGCAGCAGCCAGGGAAAGCTAGAGGCTGCTGCAGATCCGAGATCGGCTGCATTCGGGCACCCTAAGGAAGGCCCTCTTCTGGCCACTTGTTGTCCTCTCATAAGACCCCACCAGTTGGGGAGCGCCCTGGGCCCCTGACAGGAAGAGGGCAACTGATACGCTGGTGCTTAGACCGATTTTCGAGAGCTGCAGAGCAGAGGAGATGGTAGGAGAGTCTCTTGAATGGGTCAGCTCTGGTGGCTTACGGACTCCTCTGTGGAAGGGGCTGCTGCTTTGATAAGATCAGAAGAGCTTGGATAAACTTTGTAGGGGAGGGCTGTCAGGAAGATTCTAGTGATATTTGTATGCTTGGGTTGATCGCTCATTTTGCTTTTTTTCCAAAGATGAGGCTGCTGGCGTTTGCAGTGTTGGCTCTATTTGCTGTCACTCAAGCAGAGGAAGGAGCCAGGCTTTTGGCCTCCAAATCGCTGCTGAACAGATATGCCGTGGAGGGGCGAGACCTGACCTTACAGTACAACATCTACAATGTTGGTTCAAGGTGAGGAGGCCCTGGAGCTGCAGGGGGCCCTTTTCAGGATTCTTAGATTTCCCAGCTGGGAACAGGGACCAGCAGTGTTTTATCTTTGAGAGACAGATATCATGAGTGAGTGATAGACAGCTGGACCCACTTTTGGAAGAGGAGGACCTTGCTACCTAAGCTGCAACAAACCATCTTCCACATTTCTGAGTTGAAAGAGTTTTAGAGCAGGGAAGAAGCAAGAATTGTAGTGAAACAGGGAGAGGAAGATGAGGAGGCAAAAAATGTATGTTCTGTGTTACCTCAAGGGGTTAAAGTTTCAGCTTCCTTTCTTTCGTTAGCCTCTAAGCATTTTTGGTGCCTTTTTTTCATTTTATTCCGTTACTTTTCTCTTCCAAGTGCATCTGGCTTCTCTTCCCCTCCTTACACACACACACACACACACACACACACATTCACATGGAGAAATTGAGGCAAGAATGGATTTGGGCCCATTCCTTCCTAGCTACTTGAGTGTTTTGGTGGCTTCTGAGCTATGGAATCCAGTCCTTGACCTAGATTCTTCAGTGCAACAAGCCCAAGTTACTGTGTGACTTGTATCTGTCTTCTGTAGCTCTGATTTTTTTAGGACAAGCAGGCAGGTTTAATTGCTGATTGCTTTAATTTTATATCCATTACTTACTAACCTTTTTTGTTTCCTCTGTTTTCTAGTGCTGCATTAGATGTGGAGTTATCTGATGATTCCTTCCCTCCAGAGGACTTTGGCATCGTCTCTGGAATGCTCAATGTCAAATGGGACCGGATTGCCCCGTATCCTCTTGACACTGGCTGATGGAGCCTGGTGGTGTGGGGAGGGAATGTTGCCAGCAGAAGAGCAGCGTCACTTCCAGCCACCTGGGTGTGCATGGCTGTTCTTCTGTCACCTCTCAGGATAAAAGGGGGCAAGAGAGACTGGGGAAAATTGTGATTTAAGGTAGACCTGAAGAAGGATGTTCCTGAAGTTCAGGTTATAAGGCTCTAAAACATACTGTATTGGGAAGATGTAGACACTTAGAAAGATGTTTGTGACCAGACAAGGACTTTTAAGGTGCTTTTAAAAGAATTCAGTTGGATGCTAGCGTGGAGGACCTGGGTGACCTCTTAAAGACTCTTCTTATTTGGCACTGGCCCTGTGGCCAAGTGGTTAAGTTCACGTGCTCACCTTCACTGGCCCGGGGTTCACCAGTTCAGATGCTGGGCATGGACCTAGCACCACTCATCAAGCCATGCTGTGATGGCATCCCACATAGAAGAACTAGAAGGACTAACAACTAGGATATACAACTATGTACTGGGGCTTTGGGAAAATTAAAAAAAGGAGGAAGATGGGCAACAAATGTTAGCTCAGGGCCAATCTTCCTCACAAAAAGAAAAAAAAGGCTCTTATTCATTGAGTCTTTATTGAGATCTACCACTTATTTCCTCAGTGTTTTGAATTAGATTACTTTTTTCTTCTCCTTGTGAATTAAAGTATATTTAGATTTTCTGGTGAGGGTAAGTGTTCTCTTTGTGTTTCTTGTTTTTGTTTTTATTTTATATTTTCGAGAACCTCCTTCACTTATAGTCAATGAAAGCTCTTCTGTAAGCTTAAGTGACTAATTTTTCATCCATAACACATATTGCTTTGAAAGTTTACTTCAAAAACCTAGAGGGGCCAGCCCAGTGGCATAGTGGTTAGGTTCATGTGCTCCACTTTGGCAGCCTGGGGTTTGCCAGTTTGCAGCCCAGGCGCAGACCTACGCACTGCTTATCAAGCCGTGCTGTGGCAGCATCCCACATATAAAGTAGAAGAAGAGGACTAATCTTCCTCAAAAAAAACTCCAAAAATCTCGATATTGAGTACAACATGAAAAAACCTCGATATTGAGTACATGATAGACCCCTTAAAACTTGGCTAGGAAGACATTATGTTATACCACACACTTCAGGTTTAGGAAAAAGTCTGTATTTATTATTTTTGCAGGTGTGAAGTCACCACATGTGTTGGCAACTCTTTTGTGAATGGTGCGTTTAGTCCACAAGTTGAAAGGTTCTTACAACTTCAGCTTCATCTTTTTCCCATCCTTAACTCTTGGGTCAGTGCCAGCAACGTCTCCCACACCGTGGTCCTGCGCCCTCTCAAGGCTGGTTATTTCAACTTCACCTCAGCAACTATTACTTACCTGGCCCAGGAGGACGGGCCTGTTGTGGTGAGTGGCCCAAACCCTTTGCTGGATGGGGCTCAGATCTGCCTGCCTTTGAAAACTCTTCAGAAAATTTCCAACGCAGCCGCTAAATTCTGAGGAAGATAAGAAGGACCAGAAACTTGGGATATTGTCCTTAGGAAGGAAGTATGTTTCAAATTATAAAGTCCCAGAATAAAGTAATGAAAATGGATGGGAGGGGAGTACTGTAGCCTTCCCTTCCTCTTCGTTCCTTCTGCTGTGTTTGTAATCTGGAATGTGTCCTTTGCTGTCCAGTTTATTGCTGTCCTTGCCCTTCCAGTCCATTTTCTGTGCCACTGTCAGATTATTCCCAGTCTCTTCTGTTTCTCTGTCTTGCTCCTGCTTATTGCATCAAGGACAGACTTGTCTGCCTCACATCGCATCTCCTCCGGTAGTCTAGCTGTTCTCTGCCTCTCCAGCTTTCTCGCCCACCCTCGCCACAAAGACCCTCCGTCCTAATTAGGCCAAGCTCCTTCCTGCACTCCCTCCCGACTCTGTGCTAATTCTTTCCACTTTGCCTTTGTTCTCTGTTTGAAGTACCCCACCTCCACTTCATTATCCGAAGCCTTCTCAAGACCCAGTTTGAGCTGCGTCTCCTTCTTGTCTTTGGCTTTTACACTTCGTGTTGCTCCTTCCTGCTCATTCTTTCAGTCAACATTCATTGACTGCATCTGAACTTCTGTAGCTCTTATAGTCTGTGCCACTTGGACATTTAATTATTTTCTGTCTTTAGTAGTTCTCTTTCTTCTGTATAGGTCTTTCCCCTACCACCACCTCCCAATTTAATTATAAACTCCTTGAGGCCAGAATTTTCTCTTAGATTTCTCTCTGTTGCCATATATAATAGAAGCTCAGTGATAAACAGTCTTTTGATTGATTGATGTAAAGGTCAACAGGCATTTATTGAGCCCCTGCAATGTGCTAAACTCTAGGGAATACCAAGAACATTAAGACACTGTCCCAGCCCTCAGGAAGCTTAGGTCGTGCCTTTATAAAGGGCCTGACAGGACCGTTTGCATGGGCTGTAGGCTGCTTAGTGAGTGCACGGTAGGGAAGGGACTCAATGGAGTCCACCATAGAACTAAGAGAAATCGAAGATTCTCTAATGTTCAGGACACTGTCTGAATTTTCTTTTTTTATAAACCACATGGAATCATATTCTTGTAATCGTAGTTACATTTTCTCATCTTGTGTCATTTCTGCTTTCAGAACCAACTTTAGGACTCTTTGGTTCTACCTGGTACTTGATGGGTTAAAGACAAAGTCAACGGCTCAACCGCCGCTTTAGAACAAAGTTGTTTGCGGTGTGCTCCAAACTCTTGGCCACCTCTCCAAGACCAAGGAATGTGGGCCAGACTCCGCCCCTCCTCTAGTAATGTACATTTGGGTAGGGCTTTATACCTTCCAGAATCCTTCTCATTATTTCGTTTGAGCGTCATGTCAACCTGTGAGGTATAGAAGAGTATTTCCACTTGAGGAATAAGCAAATGATTGCCGAGGGCAAGTCATTCCATTACACACGGGCCCCGCAGAGGGGCCAGTGGTGGTGAGCAGCTCTCTGCAGAGTGTGAGGCTAAGATAGAAGGATTTGGCTTAATTTCAGCTGCATACCTGGCCTACCTCGTCTAGTATGGTCCTCACGGGTTTCTCAGGTCTCCTGGCTCCTAATTTACTCTTTATAACACACTAAGAGTCACCCAGCTCTCTCTGGTTCAAAAGCTTGTCCTCATCTATTTGAAGCTCCAAGAATCTAGTGCTTAGACTTGGGTTGGTTGGAACTGCCCCTTCTCAGATGAGAAGAATGTGGACTTGCCTTAATGCCCTTTTCTTTTCAGATTGGCTTCACCAGTGCACCTGGACAGGGAGGAATCCTGGCTCAGCGGGAATTTGACAGGAGATTCTCCCCCCATTTTGTAAGCTTTGCGATGTTCTTGCTTATCATTCCCCTGGGATGAGAACACTCTTTTGGCTTGGGACCTCTTGGTCTTCTTGCAAGATTTGTTTAGTTGGTTGGTTCTTGCCATATCTGTTCTGTGGTGTCTGATACAGACAGCCATCAAATATCCTGATTTAACCATGATTAGAGATTTTTGGCAATGAGATCACAACTGTCATAACCAAAAAACTGCCCTTTTTCTCTACTCAGCCTCGAGTAGAGCCCCATCATAGAATCTTGGGTCTATTTTGAGGTTTAAAAGAATGTCCGTGGGGCCAGCCCCGTGACCAAGTGGTTAAGTTCACGTGCTCCGCTTCAGTGGCCCAGGGTTTCACCGATTCAAATCCTGGGCGTGGACATGGCACCGCTCATTAGGCCATGTTGAGGCGGTGTCCCACATGCCACAACTAGGAGGACCCACAACTAAAATATGCAACTATATACTGGGGGGATTTGGGGAGAAAAAGCAGGAAAAAAAGATTGGCAACAATTGTTAGCTCAGGTGCCAATCTTTAAAAAAAAGAATATCTGCTTAGATTCAGAGAATCGTAGAGCATCGGGAAGCTTAAGTGGAAACTTTGCCACGGTCTAGAGTAGGAGAGAGATTTCTTTTTTTGCTGAGGAAGATTTGCCCTGAGCTAACATCCATGCCAATCTGCCTCTATGTTTTAGTATGTGTGCCACCAGCACAGCATGACTGCTAACAGAGGGGTGTAGGTCTGCGCCCAGGAACTGAACCCAGGCTGCTGAAGTGGAGCACACTGAATTTAACCACTGGACCACAGGGCTGGCCTTAGGAGAGAATTTTAAGATTTGCCTGAAGTCCTGAATAAGGAAATTCCTTTAGGAGGTTCCTAATTATGTGCTCAGTTCTGTGCTTTGCTTTGGGAAAACAAGGGTGAATCCTCAGACACAGTTTATTCTATTAGAGATCTTATGGGCACTCAGAACAAGTCAAGGGGGGAGAAAGAGTGCTGTGATAGAGATCATATCCAAGGTGCTGGAGGAGCATTCAGCAGGAACGTCTGATGGTCTTTGAGAGTCAGGGAGGGTTTTCTGGAGGAGGAGAAGTTTAACCAGTCAAAGAGGAGGTAAGGGGGGCCGGCCCAGTGGCCTAGTGGTTAAGTTCCGCATGCTTTGCTTTGGTGGCCTGGGTTTAGTTCCCGAGCACAGACCTACACCACTCGTGAGCAGCCATGCTGTGGCCGTGACCCACATACAAAATAGAGGAAGATTGGTACAGATGTTAGCTCAGGGTGAATCTTCCTCAGCAAAAAAAAGAAGATAAGGAAGGGCAGGTGTCCTAGGAAGAAGGAGTAGCTCAGAAGTGAGAAAAAGCATGGTGCAGTCCAGGAATGGCAAGTGGTTTAGCAAGGCTGGAGGGCAGAATGTGAGATGGAGGAATGAGAGGGGGCTGGAAGTATAAGCAGGGGTTAGATCACAGGAGGCCTGGCTGTCAGGGCAAGACCTGGGCATCTCTCTCCTCAAAGATTGTCCAGGAGAGAGGACCTTCTCTTCTAGGCTGAGTTGGGTCAGGTGAGGCCTTTGGCTTCACTGCTTGAAAGATAGATTGGTCTTTAGAGAGCAATTCTGTGTCAGGAGTAGGCAGAGAGGAGCCTTCCTGCCTAGGTCCTGCTTCAGATTTGGCCTGGGCTGCTCCACATGTCATTGGACCCCTTCCTTCTTGGTCCTCTCCTGTGCCCTAATCCAGACTTCTAAGCAAGGTCTCTGTTGTCTTCCACAGCTGGACTGGGCAGCCTTCGGGGTCATGACACTCCCCTCCATCGGCATCCCCCTGCTGTTGTGGTACTCCAGCAAGAGGAAATATGACACTCCCAAAACCAAGAAGAACTGAGTGGAGCTTCCACAGCCCTCCCTTCCCAAGAAATCCAGGTGCTTTCCAGACTCCAAAGGGTATCTCAAATGCAGTCGCTTCTCCCTTAGCCCTTGGCCGCCTTCTGGATCCTGCCCTGCTGTCAGCCAGACTGAGGGACCAGGCCTGGGAGTCTGTGAGAGCCTCCGTGGGTCCATCGTGAAGCCATACAAACAGGAACGCCTTCAGCAACAGCCTTGAGCCTAGAGGGACCTCAGGTGCACCACTGAGTGCCACAGGGTGTATTGCTGGCCTGTGAACTCTTTCAGGGGTCCAGGAGGGGGCACTTCAGAGACTACCTGACACCACCCCCATTGCCTGCCCTCCCCTGTCAGAAGAGGGTGGAAGATAAAATGAAAGCTGTGGGACTCTTGGAGGCTACGCAGTCTCTGTTCTGGGTTAGGGAAGCGCTTACCAAAAGGGGTTTTCTAATAAAAACAAATGCCACAATGACTTGTCTGTTTTCCTGTCACCTGGGTGAGCCCAGGTTGTTGTCGGAGCTCAGGCCCTGAGCACCCCGGCTCCTGGGCAGGCAAGCTGAACTCCTGCCTAGTTGCTGTGGGGGTTGTGGGTCCTGTTCCCACAGAGATACCTGCCCCCTTTTGAAGCCCTTTGCTTCCATCCCCTATTTCTCTCTCTCTTCTCGCCAGTCCCCACCCATTGCCCGAAGCCTCCCTGGCCTGTCAGCTCCTCTGCACAGCTGGAGGAGACGGTGGGAAAGAGGTCTGCAGATGAGCGGCCATTCTCATACCCCAGGAGACTTTTGGTCTGATTTATTTACTGATTGTTCTGGCAAAGCTATCTCTTACCCCTGATTCTAGCCCTTCCTCTAAGAACTAACTTTTCTGGAGCTTGAATTTATTTTTAATGCCCCTGCTTTGAGCTCAGGTTGGGCAGAAGAGCCTGGATCCCCTGAACCATTACCTAAGCAGGGCCTGTAGAAAGGCGGTGGTTTTTGCTGTAGCAGCAGTGGAGAGAAGCCGCTCTTAGCTGACTCTGTCCAACCCAGGAATGCCGTGGTCCGAGAACAGCCTCCCAGGCAGGAGGGAGACCCAACAAACACCCGCTTTGTTCCTGCCACCAAGTTTCCCAGTGTAGATTCTCTGGGGGGGGGGGGGGGGGGGGGGGGGCTGCTCAACCGGTTTAACCTTTCCTTCGCCCAGCAGTTGGAGCCTCTGGGGCCCAGGAAGGATGAAAAGGACATGGAGACAACGGGAGAATCCAAATGGAGTAGCCCTCCGCCAGCTCACATCGGTCTTTCAGGGGCTGCACCTCGGAGACCCCGGGACTGGCCAGGTCAGAGGGCGAGGAGGATATATTTGCCCTTGTTCACTGTACTCCTGGTGGGACCTGGGACTTGCTCAGGAGAATAGGCACAAAAGCGATGGGTCAGAAGCTTGGGCTTGAGAACAAGTGTAGAGAAGGGAAAGGGAGCTGGTTTGATCTGTATTGTCTTGCTCTCTAGGACTATGAAATGTTAGTCTTTGGAGGAGGGAACACACATTTTTCATCTGTGTAGTCTCCACTGAAAACAGAATGAGGAGTTAACCTGGCGGAGGAGGAGTTCTGGTTTAGAGGACAGGATAAACTTCATAACTCTGGAAGGTAACAGAGGATTTCTTCCTCAGTCTGAATTCTGGGAGGGACTCCTTTCCTGAAAGCTGGGGCAATCCACCTTTCCTTGGAGGACTCAGCACTCTGTGTCCTGGCCCTTGTTATGGAGGAGACGGGTAGGGAGGGGGACCCAGGCCTGACACAGGTGACAAGAGAAGCGTTCTGAAGGCACTTAGTGTCACAGGCACCTTGAAAAAAGGCCAAAACCAGAAGCTTCATCTCTCAAAAGATCAACTTCCTTGGAGGTAGGGGTGGAATTTGAACCTCCCTTAAGTAGTGGAGTTGGAGAATATAAAAGCCTCTAAAATCTATAGACAGACTTACCCGGAATAATTGGCCTTAGGATTGAGCCCTCTGAACTTCTTGAGTTAATTTATTGGGAGGATGAGTATCAGAGCACAGCTCTCCACTCTAATGGAAACCCCCCTGGGGAGGTGTAGACCCTCATCTTGGGTTGTCTGGAGGTCTGTCAGGGAGAGGGAACGTAAGCACCGGTCCCACAGCCTTCCTGGAAATTGGGTACCAAAACTGAGGGGCTTAGGGGCCAGCCCCGTGGTTGAGTGGTTAAGTTCACACACTCTACTTCGGCGGCCCAGGGTTCACCAGTTCGGATCCTGGGCACAGACTTACACACCACTCATCAAGCCATGCTGTGGAGGCATCCCACATAGAAGAATTAGAATGACCTGCAACTAGGATATACAACTATGTGCTGGGGAGAAAAAAAAAAAAAGAGAAAGATTGGCAACAGATGTTAGCTCAGGACCAATCTTCCTCAAAAAAAAACTGAGCGGCTCCTCCCTAAAAGGCAATATAGATAGTAACCCAGCTGCCTACGTGTTCCGGGTCCCCTCCACCCCCTGGAAACCAGCCGTCTATCCCTCCCACATTGTCCAAACTTCCAGCTGGCAGCTGCACACCCACACACCCAGCCACGGTACCAGGAGGAGCCAGGTGCCCAGTGTCCACCCACTTCACGTACTGGGCTTTGGGGCTCTACCTGAAGAAAGTCAATGGGAAAGGAATCTGAATTTCCAAGAAACTGGAAGAAATCCAGTGGTTCAGGAAGTTATAAAGCTTAATCCCTTCAGAGAGCAGGAGCAGCTCAGGGTGCTGGAGGCAGCACCGACCACAGACAGAAGCAGCAGTGCTGGGTCCCGGCCCCAACTCCGCCACCAAATGGCTGAATGAGCTCAGGGGAGTCACACTCCCTCTGAGAGCCTGTGTCCTCATCTGGACAATCACGAGATTGTTTAATCAGAGGATTTCTGAGGACCCCACACCAGAAAAATGAAGCAAGTGTTTCCCCACGTTCTTGTGAAGTGAGAAGCAATTGCAGTCACTCATCATGTGGTTTGGGGTCCAGCCAGGTAGGAAAAGGTACACCGTTTCCACATCTGGCAGCAACTCCCCTCTTCCTCTCACTCAGAATTCTAGAGCAAGGATAGACCATAGATCACCGAATTTAATCCTCTCATTTAATAGATCAGGGAAGGCGCAGAGTGAAGTGGCTTAGCCAAGGTCACACAGCAAGTGGCCGCTAGCCTCTTTATTGAATAACTAGTATAGGCTCAATGTTTATGTCCCACTATTTGCACGTAGCTGATTTAACACCCCTATTTTACAGACGAGAAAATCAGGCTAATAGGAACTTCTGCAAGGCCTCATAACTAGGGAGTTGGCAAAGCCAGCTAGGGTCTTCCAACTCCAACATACCCTTTACCACCAGACCACAGGGCCTGTAGGAGGAGGGTCCCCCATTACCTCAGGAAGTCCAATGTCTGCCCACGCTGTCCTCTGCCCCAAGGAACAGTGGGGGTGAGTCAGCACCCCCCAGAAGCTGTTATTGGGGAAGCGGGTGAGGGGGCTGTTCAGATATCCTGTGCCGGTATCCACAACAAGCAGGAAGGCCTGTGTGTGCTGAGCTGCTTGGTGCCCCTGTTCCTGCTAGCTGAAGCCAGGGCCTCCTCAGTCGTAGCTGCCCTTGTAGCTGCTCCTCCCTGCACTTTCATCGCAGAAAATACAATCTTTCCTCCTCCCCCTGCTGTAACCTGCCTCTTAAAGGGACCAACAAGCATCTTGACGCCAAATCTGAGAGAGGGCAAAGGACCTCCCTGACCCCAATAGGACCTTGCTGTTAAGTAGGTTTCCAGCTGTGGGCCTTTCCCTGAGATGTCCTCTTTCTCCCCTCCTCAGCACCACCCTGTCCCCGCTGGAAGGAAGGTGAAAGTTCCCTGGGATGTCGGGTTTCCACACACTCTCCCTCAGGTTACCCCGGCTTGGCTTCCTGTACCTGTTCCCACCCCAGCCTGAATCCGGGGGCTGCTCTTTGTTGAGGGAATGCTGGGGACCGGGAAACCCAGGAATCCTCGGGACCAGCAATGGCACCCAAGGGGTTAAAGGTCTGGGCCCAGCACCGTCTGGGGTGTTTGAAGTAGGGCGGGGAAGGGAAGGGCTGGAGTGGTTGAAGAGGCAGCTGGTCAGGACTGGAATGAGTCCCCCCTGTCTCCTATGCAAACTTCTGGGCCATGAGCCGTTCCCTTAAAAGCACTGAGAGGGAGGCACCCCAACTTGGGTGCTGGACTGGATTCTTAGAGGGGCTACCTGAAGCAGGACTTTTTCCTACATTGAAGTCACCAACTGAGGACAGGAACAGGTCCCCCATCTTTGGAATATCTTCCGGGTCTGGTGAGTTTCCCTCTTCCCTTTCCCTGGGTCCTTCCCTCGTGAATGGGCATTCCCCAGAAGCAGAGATCTTCAAGAACCCCTCAGCACCCCAGGAAGTGGCGGGACAATTTGTAGCTTCTCCACCAGCCTCCCACATTCAGCTCCCATTTTCACTCAGGGGGCATTTTAAGTGTGTGTAAGTATGCAAATAGGGAATCACAATAATGGCCAAGAGATAACACTTACTGTTCGTGCAACAAGTGATTTTAAACCCTTTCTATACATTCTTAATCCTCACAATCCTATGGGGTTGATATACCATAATCCCTACATTACAGGTGTGGTTTAGAGAAGTTAAATAACCCACGTCACTTAAGAGGTAAACTGTAGGACTGGGGTTCAAACTCAAGTTCATCTGACACCAAAGTTCATTTTGTTGTCTTTTGGTCTCTTTGTCCTACTCAGGAGGTATGGACAGGAAGGATGGCTCTGGAATTTTAAAACCTTGAGATCCTAATTCATCCAGGGTCCCCTTCCTGTAGTGCCTGACATTGTTCTCTTTATCCCTGGGGATCAATTGTGAGATTTAAAGGGCCATCAACTCATACCTGTGAGCCAGAGACTCCCAGATTCCAGATTACCCCATCCATCAGATTAGAGCTTTCCTACTCCACCCACTACTTATAGCTGTCCCCTGGAATCTGATGGGTTAATTCCCTGTGACACAGTGGCCAAAGTCTTCTCAGGTGTGTCCCTCTGAACCTCAGACCCTTTCTTGCCCCACCCTTCTGGCACAGCACCCAGAACACATGCCAAGAAACTGGAAGGAGGTAGAAGAGCTCTGACTGGTCTTACCCTCCTCTTCCCTAGCCCCCGCACATCATGGGCTACCCTGGGTCCCAACAAGCTCCTGATAGAATAAGCATAAGGGCCTAGCACAAAGGAAGAAGGCTGGGTTCCTAGGTTCAGTTTGCAAACCAATTAAAAAAAAAAAAAGGTGCTCATACTTGGAAGCCCAAAGCAGCAAATTCCTGACTGCCTTGTGAGCCTAGTATATGGAAGAGGTGCGGGTGGTTTAGGGTGGGTGTCTGAGATGCCTGATTGCCTGTTTGAGATGCCTGAGGTGTGCTTCGATATGGGGGCTGGGGGTGCCCGACTCTCTAGCTTTGAACTTCTGGAACTAAGTACTAACAACAAAATTGATCATTCTGCCCTGTGGGCCTGGGAAGAAGGTGGGCGCCTCTCAGGAGGGGACCTGGAAGCTGGTGTGGGCAGGCGGCTTTTGCCTGTACTTACCGCGTCCCACCGTTGTATTTGTGCATAGACCCTGCTGGGTGCTCTTCTCTGGGCCTGAAACCTGGTGGGTGCGAAAGCAATGTTTGCTGAATGAATCCTCTCTCTGTACCCTTGCCTTTCCTTTGATTTTGGAATTGTGATGCTACTCTCTGGCAGTTGACAGGAAAGTCAGAGAAGGAGAGTGAGTTCCAGGACACCAGTGTTCAGCACATGGCAAAATCTCATGTATCTCACACTGAGAGAGAGAGCAATGATGTAGCTAAGTCAGGGTGAGGCAGGAGGTATTAGAGACTCAGGTGCTATGACCTGCCGTAGAATGGGGTGTCCGGGGAGCAGGCGTAGGAAGGAACTGGGGTTACTGGGTCTTCTTTATCTGCAGCTAAGAGAAGCCCTGCTTTAGCCCTCTTTGCAAGACACTGTTGGATTAATGGTTTACTTTCTAGGGGAGAAGAGGCAGGTAGGTTAAATTTTGAACCATCAAAGGGTTTCCTATGGCCCCGTTCCCCAGGGCTGGGGGACCTGGAGGAGAAGCTAGTAGACCCTCTCGTCCGGCCTCTCCCTTCCTCCCCGTTCTTATTTCTTTATTACCTGGTTCTTTCGGGTCTTTCCCGTTATTGTCCCCGTTTGGGAGATTTAGGACCCCAGATCCAGACCCAGGGAGCCCCCCAGGCTGTGAAAGGACCCTCCAGCATTGCCCCAGTCCCCCTTCCGAGCTGTGTGGTTGCTATCAGCAGCTCCTCCTCCCAGTGTTTGCTGGCAGCAAACATAGGCAGAGCCCTGGCTGCCCCCCCATCACCTCATCAGACTTCTGAGAGAACAGAGGGAAGAGAAAGCACAAACTGAACTTCTTTGGAACCTCCGTCTAATTTCTTTTGGAAGCTACTTCCTTTCTTTGGCTGGGGGGGCAAGGTGGGAATGGGGTGGGGGTGGGGGTGAATAGCAATATTGCCAGACTTCTTTCCGAGCTAACTATTGCTTGCTTTGGGAGCTTGTCTTCTGGTTTCAGAAAAGTCCTCAGGCTCAATAGTGGATGATGTGCCTTGAACACTCAGCTCCACTTCCTACAGCCCTGTGACTTTGAGCAAGTTTCTTTACTTCTCTGTGCTACCTGTTTCTTCATATATAAAACAGAGATAATGTCCATTTCAAGAAATGGTGGTGAGGATCCCACAAGATGACGTCGGTACTCATTATGGGTTAACTCTCTCGCCCGCAGACTCCAGATGCTCTTTAGGAAATGGCTATGTTGGGGTCTTCACTGTCCCTCTGCCCCCGAGCTTGTTGCAGAATGCCTGGTGGGTGTGCAGTGAGCCCTCATGTCACTCTTTGATCTCTTTTTCCTCCTTCCTGAGATTTTGAGACCCAGTTGCTCTAAATCAGGAGTCTGCAAAGACTTAAATAATAAATATTTTAGGCTTTGTGGTTCTCTGTCGCAACTACCGACTCTGCTGTGATGAGGTGAAAACAGTCATAGAACAGATGTAACTGAATGAGCATGGCTGTGTTCCAAAAAAACCTTCATTTATGAACAACTGAAAGTTGAGTTTCATATAATTTTTATGTGTCACAAAGTAGTAGTATTCTTTTGCTTTTTTTTCCGACCGTTTAAGAAAGATAGCACGGGGCTGGCCCTGGAGCCCAATGGTTAAGTTCACGCGCTTCACTTTGGCGGCCCAGGGTTTCGCTGGTTCGGATCCCGGGCGTAGACATGGCACCGCTTGTCGGGCCATGCTGGGGCGGCGTCCCACATAGCACAACCAGAGGGATCTACAACTAGAATGTGCAACCATGTACTGGGGGGCTATGAGGAGAAGAAGAAGAAAAAAAAGAAGATTGGCAACAAACATTAGCTCAGGTGCCAATCTGTAAAAAAAAAAACAAAAACGTAAAAAGATAGCAGGATGGATTTGGCCCACAGGCTGTAGTTTGCCAACCCTGCTTTAAATGACCAGAGGCCACTCTGTCCCTCCCTTCCCTTTGAAGAGGACAGCTTCCTCAGCACTCTTTTCTATCAGAAGTTAGGATAATTAGTCCCTCTCTCAGTTGTTTTAGTGTCAGCCCACAGGTAATTTATTTTCTCTCTCTTTTTTAAGAGACAACAGGGGGCAATCATCATATAATATCTCTCTCTACTACTGTCTTGGGCCTTCCTCTCTCCGGCTCTCCATTTCTGTCTGCCCTGCCTTCTCTCTGCCTCTAAATGATAATAATAATAACAACAATAATAATAGCATTTATTAAGTACCTAATCTGTGCCAAGTACAACGTTAGTTGCATCCATACGCCATCACCAAGTCTCTCAACATCCTTAAGGGTAGGTGTTATCATTCCCATTTTACAGATGATTCTAAAACTGAAAAACATTAAGCAAGTTCCTAAGGTCATGAGGTTGTGAAGGCGGCAGAGCTAGCAAATCTGACAGACTTCAAAGCCACTATAAGATCCTAAAGAAAGTATGGTCTCAGAGTTTTGAATAACAGATGTCTCTGTATTAAAATATTATATGCTCCCATCTCAGTGCCCAGTAGATTGTCTAACAAATCACCAATGACTGGTGTCATAGGTGGAGGTTGCACACTCAGAGGAGGAGGCAGGAGACACTGATAGTCTGTGTTGGTGGGAAAACCATCTGATCAACAGGCAGGAAGATAAGTGAAAGGACTTCTTAGAGCCCCTTCTTGCTTTCCTCCCCTGCCCCCATCTCGAGCGTCTGATCCCAGACCTATTTCAAATCTCCTATCTCTCTGTTCAGCGGAAGCAGTGATGTGACATGATGTGATCTCATTCGGGAGCTAAATAAAGCCATTGTGTGAGACCCAGCCCTGGCTGCTCCCTTGCACTGTTTCCTGAGCTCAGGAGGCTGAGGATATGGGAGGGGGGAGCTGGGAGAGAGCTAATGAGAGGAGAAGCAAAGAGGAGAACACAACCATGGGGGCCCCAGCTTGAATTTCCGAAAAAACGGAGGAGGGAATCTTTCTGGGAGGGGGTTGAGGAAGCCTTGCTAAACCTCACCTCTTTGAAGGATAGAATAAAAATTATTGACGTTACAGCATGGAGGGGTGGAGTTTAGGAAAGCTTTCTGAGAAATGGAATGAAGATCTGAGGGAGAAGGAGCCCAGTGGATTCCATTTTCACAGAGGGCAGACACCATGAATGAAATGACAGAGATGGTGGGAAAAGGGTAGATCTTTGAGAAGAGGCCAGATTCTAGTTGGTCTGAGCTGGAGGAAGAAGAGGGAAGATCTCAGAACATAAAGATCTCAGGATCAGAAATGTCTACCAGGCCCGAGTAGCAGGGTACCCTCTCCAGCAAGTGGCCCCTCCAGGGCTGGAGGGAAAGAAAAGGGCTGCACTTCACTGCAGTCCTTTCCTCTTGCCCAATCAGCACTGCAGGCAGGACTGGGGCAGGGAGAGCAGAGAGAAGCTGGCTACAGGGGGTGTAGCTCAAGCAGTCTTTCCTCTTTCGTGAGGTCACCGAATGCCAGAGCACACAAGATCAGCGCAGTGCCCCCTCGGCGCCCCTCAATTTCTGTCCTGTTCCCGGTCCCTGTCTCTCTTTTCCCAGTGAGCACCTCCAGTTCCTATTCCTCCCTCCACCACTGCTTCTCACAATACTTGTTGTCAGTATTCCCCCCGCCCCCCCAAATCTCAGCTTTGGAGACCACCGGTTGGCAGGAATGCTCTGGCCCTCGGGCTCTGTCCTGCTCCCTGCAGATCTGCCTATCCCATTTATAGACAGCACATCAGATGGCACGAGGCCCAAGTTTGTAGACCAGGGGAGAGAAGGTCTCTCTTGGTGGCTGGCTGAGGGGTCCCTTCTATGTTGCTTTCAGATGTGATGAGCATGGACCGGCACAGGGCCTGGGCCGGTTTCCCAGGCCTCTCCTTTTCTATCCTTAGACCCACCCGACAGAGCAGCAGAATGCCGTCTGCAGAGGCCTGAGCACTTGTCTCCCTCCTTCCCTGAGGTGGACAGGCATGTGGTCAACACGGGCTCAAGTGGCTTCTCAGTAGTCCTGAGTGGGGTGGGGGCAGTGGACAGGTTGCCATGAGAGAGGGTAAAATAGATTGAAGGAGCAACTTTCCAACAACCTGCACTCTCCTGTGTGGGGAGAGTAATAATACAGAAAGCCTTGGAGGAGGCAGGATTCTGGCTCACTGCTTCCTGGTCCTCCTGAGAACTCCCAACATCTCACTAGCTGGGTGGTCCCTGGAGAAGGGGAGCCTGGGAGACTCATCCTAGCAGAAGGTCCAGAGAGACAGGGCCTAGGAATGAGGTATAGAGGGGTATGCAGTAATGTTAGTCCCCTTCCTGCCCCTCCACCACCTTGATACTCTGGTATGTGGTACTTCTTTCTGGAATGGGACTTACCATTTTCAACTTTAAGAGCACCTGAGGGTTCTTAACTCTGAGACACGCTGAGGCAAGCCCTAATGGCAGCCGGGGGTGTTGGGCAGTGACAACAACGCCCCCTTGGAGGAGAGAGAAGGAACTGCGATGTGGCTGAGGTTGGGAGCTCTTCTCTCTGCTTCCCGGGGAGAGGTCATAAGCACTTTCTTAACTCCCCATATGACCAGAGTTCTAGAGGGAAGAAATCACAATATTTTCTCATTCCTAAACCTTTTCTCTCTCTTGCTTTATCTGCCTAGCCTCCTCCCTCTCTAACTTGGCCAAATCCCAACCACTCCACCCCTCCAGGCCCATCTCAAAGGTTTTCTACTTCCTTCTATTTCCCTTTTTTGAGTCTCCAACTGGTTATATGCACTCATTCCTTTGGTAGCACAAGGCCTTTTGTTGAAACTTCGCTTGTCGCCTTTGGCATACTCTGGCCAGTCAGTCATTTGTGTTTTGTGCTTTTGTCTGTGTGCACATATGCACGCATGCACACACACACACACTCACTAGACTATGAGTTCCTCGAGGACAGACACAATATCTATTTCTCTTTGCTTGGCTTGGCTTTCTGCCACATAGATGCTCCGTAAATGAAATAATAATGAGTGAATGAGGACGTCATTAGGTACTGGTAAGAACACTGGACTAGAAGTCAGAAAACCCAAGTTCTAGACTTGGCTCTGCACTCCATTTCCAGTGTGATCCTGAGCCAGCCATTCTCGAATTCAGTGCCTCAGGAAAGGGAGGGGTAACTAGATACTCTAGGCCCTGCTGACTGTGACATCTTTCTAGTTCCACGTTTCTAGAGTTCTAGAACCCTGCTCATCCTTCTCTGTCTTCTTGACTCAGACTGGCCTGTGTGTGCCTCCCATGAACAGAGACGTCCCAGAGGTGTTCCTCACAGGTGGAGAGCCGGTACCCCAAGGCCACACTCGCCGCTGCCTGTCTGTGGTGGAGTCCAGAGAGCAGCTGGAGGAAGAGGAGGAGGAAGAGGGAAAAAAGGAGGGAGATGGCTTCCATGCTGTGCCCCTCCGAAGGTCGGGGGCTTTCCGTGCCCATAGCCACAACTATGACCCCTTCAAAAGACATAGTTGGGGGCCAGGCAGGGAGCTCCAGGATCCACTGAGCAGGTAAACCGCCAGGGGACCTCCTGTCCCTCCTTCCCTCAAGTCCTAGACCCAGGAGAAAGTGGTTGGAAAGGAATGACAGGAATTGAAGAGACCTGGTCCCCTAGGTCTCTTCCCCAGAGAATCAGAACGCAGGCCTATTGTGGGCCCTTGGGGATGATGGACCCTACCTTTTAAAATGTGGCTCTCCCTAGTGGTCCTAGCACCTTCTTTCTACCTTGTCTCCAGGGCAGGCGGGGGTCAGAGTGGAGGGGGTAAGGTATGGAGTTGGGGTGAGTATCAGGACGCTTGGTCTTATTGCCTCCATCTCCAACTGGGTTTCATAGAGCCATACAAAGGTGCCAGAGCTGGAAGGGACTCAGGGATCACACGGCCCAATCTCATTCTACAGGTGAAGAAACTGAGGCCCAGAGAACTTTGGGAGATTTCTTGAAAGAAGTGGTCCCAGGGTTGGAGCATTGAACCTGCCCCTTTCCCAAATTGCTGCCTACCTGCTGGGTCCAGCCTGAGGCAGACCCAAGATGTTTTGGACCTCATAGTATGGCCCTGCAATGGGGGAATAGCTCTTCTTGCTCAGAGGCCTGCTTACGCTCGGCAGACCGGAAGAGAGGGACCCATCTCTTCCCCCGTCTCCTGGAAAATCCCTGACCACTTCCCCAAAGACAGAGGAAGTCAGAAAGAGAAGGTCCAGGGGTCAGCATGAAGAGTTCAGTGTGATTGGTCATGTGAGGGCCTGCTAGTCATGGAAGGGCACTGTCTCCATGCTTTGGCAATGGTCCCCTTAGACGAGTTCCTTTAGCTCCGGTGAGTAGACGAACCTTCTCTACCTCCTGGGCAGAGCTGGCTGGACCAGGTGGAGAGAGAGGACCCTGCGCCTTGTCCCTGAACTGGCTTGGGTGGGAACTCAGGTGAGAAGCCTTGCCTGGTGGGCTCACGGCACCTTCCTAAGAGCAGCTAGTCCAAGGCAGAGATGCCCTGGGTACCCCTTATGTGGTGCCAACTGTATCTCAGAGTCTTCCAGGTGCCACCTTTCATTATCAGGCATAACTTCTTGCCCTTTGGGTATAGACAGAAGGGAGCCCTGGGCACACCATTCAGCTGAGTGGGGCCAAAGTTTGGCATCAGAAACCAGGCAAGGACTGAGAATCCAGCTTGCCCTTTCCCTCCCCCTGAATCCCAGCTTTCTTCTGGAGGGCAGTACTGTCCTTTGACCAGCAGGGGTCACCCTTGCCTGCAGCCAGCTCTGCAGCTCTGCCAGAGCACAGCCGCAAAGGGAGGTTAGTTTGGGTCTGGGTTGAGCCTATGCCAACAGGAAGGGCTGGGCTGGGGGCAAGCAACAGGGCTGGGCTGAGGCAGTGTTCCTCCCTGTGCCCGTCACTGGCCACTGGATACAGAGGGCAGTGGTGGCAATGTGTGTTTCAGGAGCAAACTGCAGGCATCGGGATGCACGAGCCCCCAGGAGGCCCCCTTATTGCAGAGCCAAGACGAACTGGACACCTTTCTGGAACTGCGGCACCAAGGTGGCCGATCCTCCCACGTGGTATGGACAGACTAATCCCGGTGGAGGCCACCGACTTCCTCCCCCTCTCCTGCCCCCTTGCCTGTCCAGCTGCCACTCTGTGCCTCTTCTGTTCTGCCAGCTGCTGGGTCTCTCTCTGTACGCAGGCATCACTGACTCCATCTGACTGAAGCGGAATCTGTTGTCTGTACCCCACCCCTCTGTCTGCTTCCCCTGGTCTGTCTGCTCTGTCCCCCACTCTTGGTATCCCACCTCTGTCTCTTTCTCTAAGACTCTCTGTTCCTTCCTTTCCGTGTCTGTGTCTCTGTATTGATGTGGGTATCTCTGTTTCTCTCTCATTCAAAATCCCCTGTTCCCCTAGTTATTATAACCACTTCTTTCTGTAGACCCCACGTTTCTCAGAATTGGAGCTGAAATTATTTGTGGGATGAAACTAGGCATCTGGTACCTTGAAAGACAATAGTTCTCTAACAAGATAATCGTGGGATTATCAAATGAGAAAGGATAGAGAGATTGCCCAGCCTTCTGGCTTAAGGACACATAAAACTGGGGGGATCTCAAGTCAGGACCTAGGGACTACTGAGGATATGAGGGCATTAGAGACACCACTAGATCTACTAGCTAAGAGTCCCTGAGTGCACAGAAATGTCTCAAGCCTGGTGACTAAAGGTTGCCTCCCTTCCTGCTCATCCTCTAGCTGGCGAGGGTTACCCACCCCCGCCTCGTTGTTCAAGTGCCTGTGGTTTGGGAGAGACGCTGACAGCAAGGGGCTGTTACAGCCTGTCAGGGAGACAGCAAGCCCCGTCTGATTCCATCGCCCCCTTTTCTCCATCAAGATCTCTGCCTGTCTTCCCTCACCCCCATGTCAATGTGATATGGTAGAAAGAACAGGATTTAGGAGTCAAACTGACTCTAAATCCTTCATTTACCAGCTGAACAATTTATTTCATCTTTCTGAAAATCAGGATAATAAAAACAATCTTTTAAAGTTGTGATTATTAGATGGTAAAAGGTGTTAAAGTGCCCAGTACAGGCGCTGGCACCCAGGAGGAGCGTGAGAAATAGCACTTCTTTTTCCTCTTCTCTCCAGCATTCCTTCATACTTCTTTCCCTCTCTTCCACCTTTCTCTTCTCCCCACTTTCCCTTTCTTGGTATTATACGTGCTCTTCTTTCCCTCTTTTCCCTAGTGCTTTTTTCTCTTTTTATGCCTTCCTGCTTTGATTCCTCTCCTCTTTCCACCCAATATTTAAGCAATCCCCTTAAATTCCTCCTTGTCTATATGTTGGAGGTTTTTTGGTTCTTCCTGCAGTAACGTGTAACGCGTAAGTTCTCCACCAAAGTCCACAGAACAGAAGTCTGAGACTCTTTAAACTAGACTGGGTCTTGGGGACTGATGGTCCATGAGCCAAGTCTAGTTCCAAAATTTATTTTGTTTGGCCAGCATGGTGCTTACATTTTTTAAAATTCAGATGTCCTTAAATGGGGCCTGTTCACTCCACTTTGCCAGAGTTGCTAATACCCTCTGATGTATTTTGTTCCCTTTGTCTTTTAAACATAATATTTAAAAATGAATGCCCAGGGCTGGCCGATGGTGTAGTAGTTAAGTTCAGCGAGCTCCACTTTGGGGGCCCAGGTTCACAGGTTCAGATCCCGGGTGGGGACTTACACACTGCTCATCAAGCCATGCTGTGGCAGCGACCCACGTACAAAATAGAGGAAGATTGGCACAGATGTTAGCTCAGGGCTAATCTTCCTCAAGCAAAAGAAAGAATGCCCAGTAAATCAACCACCCATCTCAAGAACTAGAACATTACCAATACACTTATCTTTGCCTATGTCTTCTTCTCTTCACTTATTCTCTTGCCTTCCTACCAGAGATAATCACTATCTTGAACTTTCTTTATCATTCACTTATATTTTTTATAGTTTTAACACAAATATATGTATTACCTAATAATATATTATTTCTTTTATTTATTTCTGAGTTTAAAAACAATGATGTTATGTTGTACAAAATTTTCTGTAACTTACATTTTCATTCAACATTCTGTTTCTAATTTTTACCCATTTGTTGCAAATAGTTATAGTTTATTTTCATTCCATTCTTCTGTTGATGGACATTTGGGTAATATCCATTCTTTGCTATTATGAAGAATTGTCACTATGAATATCCCTTTATCCATCTTCTGCTGCACATTCACAGGAATTTCTCCAGGGTATATACATTGGAGTGGAATTGTTGGGTCGTAGAGTATGCAGATGTTCATTTTACAAGATAATGGCAAATTGTTCCCACTCCCATCAGCAGTATATAAATATGAGTTCCCATTGATCCACATCCTTTTCAACATTTGGAGTCATCAGACTTAATTTTGCCAATCTGGCGGTTATAAATCTCATTGTGGTCTTAATTTGAATTATCCTATTACAAATGCAATAGAGCGTATTTTCATATGTGTGCTGGTCATTTGTGTTTCCTCTTCTGTGAAATTCCTCTTCATGTCTTTTTTTTTTTTTTGAGGAAGATTAGCCCTGACCTAACTACTGCCAATCCTCCTCTTTTTCTGAGGAAGACTGGCCCTGAGCTAACATCTGTGCCCATCTTCCTCTACTTTATATGTGTGACGCCTACAACAGCCTGTCTGCCAAGCAGTGCCATGTCCACACCCGCGATCCAGACTGGTGAACCCAGGGCTGCTGAGAAGCAGAACGTGCAAACTTAACCACTGCGCCACCGGGCCAGCCCCGCCTCTTCATGTCTTTTGCCCATTTTTCTGTTGGGTTCTTTGAGGGTTTTTCCTTTATTGTTTTGAAGGCATTCTTTGTATATTCTGAATACTAATCATTTGTTGTTATATGTGCTGCAATGATCTTTTCTCAAAGATGGAGTAATGTGGTTTGTCTTTTCCCTCTCCTATGGTGTCTTTAAATAGACTTTCTTAATTTTTAAAAAAATGAACATATTTATTGAAGTATAACATACATACAAAACATGCATTAAAAAAACTTTGAGGGCCTGGCCTGGTGGCACAGCGGTTAAGTTCACATGCTCCGCTTTGGCGGCCTGGGGTTCACCAGTTCAGATCCTGGGTGCAGACCTACACACCACTTGTCAAGCCATGCTGTGGCAAGCATCCCACATATAAAATAGAGGAAGATGGGCACAGATGTTAGCTTAGGGCCAGTCTTCCTCAGCAAAAAAGAGGAGGATTGACAGCAGATGTTAGCTCAGGACTAATCTTCCTCAAAAAACAACAACAAAACACTTTGAAGGCCAGCCCTGTGGCCTAGTGGTTAAGTTTGGCATGCTCCACTTCGGTGGCCTGGGTTCGGTTCCTGGGTGTGGACCTACACCATTTGTCAAGCTGTGCTGTGGAAGTGACCCACATACAAAATAGAGGAACAGGGGCCAGCCCCATGGCTGAGTGGTTAAGTTTGCACACTCCACTTCAGTGGCCCAAGGTTTCACCAGTTTGGATCCTGGGTGCAGACATGGCACCGTTCATCAGGCCATGCTGAGGTGGTGTCCCACGTAGCACAACCAGAGGCACTCACAACTAGAATATACAACTATGTACTAGGGGGCTTGGGGAAGAAAACAAAAACAAAAACAAACAAAATAGAGGAAGACTGGCACAGATGTTAGCTCAGGGCAATCTTCTTCAAACAAAAAAGAGGAACATTGGCAACAGATGTCAACTCAGGGCAATCTTCCTCAGCAAAAAAAAAACCAAAACAAAAAATGAACTTTGAGATTTTTATTGGAGTTGCATTGAATCTAAAGATTAATTTAGAGAGAGTTGACATCTTTATAATATTGCTTATTCCTATCCATGAAAATAGTATACCTCTCCATTTAATGTCTTTTAATAAAGTTTTATTATTTTTGCCATATAGATCTTAGATTAGATGTATGTATTAGATTTATTCTTAGATATGGTATACTGCTTTTGTCAAGTTTTTAATTTCAGCCATTCTGGTGAGTGTCTTAGCGGTATCTCATTCTGGTTTTTTTTTTTTTTAAAAAGATTTTATTTTTTTCCTTTTTCTCCCCAAAGCCCCCCGGTACGGGATTGTATATTTTCGTTGTGGGTCCTTCTAGTTGTGGTATGTGGGACGCTGCCTCAGCATGGTTTGATGAGCAGTGCCATGTCCGCACCCAGGATTCGAACCAACGAAACACTGGGCCACCTGCAGCGGAGTGTGCGAACTTAACCACTCGGCCACGGGGCCAGCCCCTCATTCTGGTTTTAATTTGCATGTCCCTGTTGAAAAGTTTTGTTGGGTACCTTTTCATATTCTCTCTCTTTTTTTTTTTTAAAGATTGGCACCTGAGCTAACATCTGTTGCCAATCTTCTTTTTTTTCTTCTTCTTCTTCTCCCCAAAGCCCCCCAGTACATAGTTGTATATTCTAGTTGTAGGTCCTTCTTGCTGTGCTGTGTGGGATGCCTCCTCAGCATGGCCTGACAAGTGGTGCCGTGTCCAAGCCGGGATCCAAACTGGCAAAACCCTAGGCTGCCGAAATAGAGCATGCGAACTTAACCACTCAGCCATGGGACCAGCCCCCCTTTTCATATTCATATTGACCATCCGAATATCTTCTTTTGTGAAATGTCTGTCTAAGACTCTTACTCAGTTTTTAAAACAGCTTGTCTTTTTCTTATTGATTGGTGAGGTTCTTTATATATTCTGGATTTAAGTCTTTTTGTTAGATATATGTATTGTGCATATTTTCTCCCAGTCTTGGACTTGCCTTTTTATTTTAACAATGTATTTAATAAGCATGAGTTTTTAATTTAGATGAAGCCCAATTCATCACATTTTTAATGGTTAGTGCTTTTGATCATGTTTGAGAAATCTTGCCTACCCCAAGAATGTGGAGACTTTTCTCTGAAGTTTTCTTCTAGAAGCTTTATAGTTTGAGCTTTCATGTTTAGGTCTATGAGTTATCTAGATTCTTGTGTATGGTAGAAATCAAGGTTTTGTGGGTTTTTTCCCCCATGTAGATATCCAGCTGCTCCCTTAAAAAACCTGACTTTCCCTATTGAATTGCCGTGGTACCTTTGTTGAAAATCAAGTGGCTGTATTTGTGTGAGTTTATTTCTGGGCCCTGTTCTCTGTTCCATTGATCTACTTGTCTATCCTTATGCCAATACTACATTGTCTTCATTAATGTAGCTTTATTGTAAGTCTTAAGAATGTGGTAGTGTAAGTCCTCCAACTTTATTATTTTTCTTTAAGATTATCTTGGCTATTCTAGGTCCTTTACATTTTCATGTGAATTTTGGAATCAGATTATCAATTCTAAAAATCAAAAACTCCTGCTGGATTTTGATTGAGATTGTATTGAATTCAAAGATTAATTCAGGATGAATTGACATCTTTCTAATCTTGAATCTTCCTATCCATGAAAAAATAATATCTCTCGCTATTTAGTTAAGTTTTCTAAAAGGAAAATATGTCTTTTAATAAAATATTAGGGGCCAACCCTGGTGGCCTAGTCATTCAATGTGCTTCACTTCAGCAGCCCATGTTCGGTTCCTGGGCACAGACCTACACCATTTGTCTGTCAGTGGCCATGCTGTGGTGGTGGCTCACATACAAAAAGAGGAAGATTGGCATCAGATGTTAGCTCAGGGCGAATCTTCCTCAGCAGAAACAAACAAAAAATAAAGTGTTAGTTTTCCTTATACAGGTCTTGTCAATCTATTAGATTTATTTCTAGGTATCTTATAGTTTTTGTTGCTATTATAAATGCTTTCTTATATTATAATTACATTTTATAATTATTTTTGGTTTATAGAAATGGAATTGAATTAATCCTTGTATAGTGATCTTATAGTCATTCATCTTACTAAGTGTTTTTTTAGTTTTAACAATTTGTGGATTTTTTTCTTTTCTAATTAGACAATTAAATCAACCTTAAATGAGCTTTGTTTCTTCTTTTCCAATATTTATTCCTTTCCTTTCTTTTTCTTGCCCTACAGTGCTTGCTAGGGCTCTATTGCATGTTGAACAGAAATGCTGATAATGGGTATCTTTGTCTTGTTTCTGATTTTAGAGGGAGTACATCTTATGTTTCACTATTGAAATTGACTTTTGGATGTAAGTTTTTAAAAGATCCTCTTTATCAGGTTAGGGACAATTTCCTCTATCCCTAATTGCCAAGGCTTTAGTTTTACAATAGGTGGGTGTTGAATTTTATTCTATGCTTTTCTGTTTTTACTGAGATGGTTCCGGTTTTTCTCCTTTGATGTGATATTGAGGTAAATTACATTTAAAGATTTTTCTCATGTTAAACCACCCTTGTTTTCTTAGGATAAATCAACTTCGTCGTGCTGCTGCTGGATTTCACTTATGGTATCAATTATCTATTGCTGCAGATTGGCAACAGATGTTAGCTCAGAGCTAACCTTCCTCAGGGGGAAAAAAATGGGCATGGCTGTGTTCCAATAAAATTTTTAAAAATTAAAAAATTAAATAAAAAAATTTTAAAAAAGAATCAAGGTTATACTTGCCTTATAGAAGGAGTTTTCAGTGATCTATTCCTTGAAAGATCTGTTCCTTGCCTATAAAACTGTTTTGGCCTGCTGTGTTTTATTCTGTTTATAGAAAGATTAATTACTGATTCCGTTTCTTTAATAGGACAACTCAGACTTTCTATTTCTTCTAGATTCAGTTTTGGTAAGTTATATATATATTTTTAAAGAATTTGTCTATTTTGTTTGCATTTTCAAAATTCTTGGCATTAAGTTGTAGGTAGTATTCTCTTATCTTTCTAATCACTGCTCTTTCTGTAGTTAGGTCTACTTTTTCATTCTACTTTTATTTGTGCCTTCTCTCTCTTCGTCACTCTTATCAAAGGTTTGTCTATTTGCCTATTCTTAAAAAACAACTCTTGGTTTTATTGATCCTACTTTATGTTTACTACTTAATTGACTTCTGTTTTTTTATCTTTATTGTATCCTTCTTTCTGTTTTCTTTGGATTTTTTCTGTGGTTCTTTTTCTAACCTTTTAAGTTGACGTAACTCATTAATTTTCAGCTTTTTAAATTTTTCAATATAAACATTTTAAGGCTACAAATTACCCTTGAAATACTGCTTTGGCCATCTCTCACAGGTTTTGTTCTGTAGTATTTTCATTATTGTTATTATAAAGTATGTTTACATTTCCATTATAATTTCTTCTTTAACCAGAAAGTTTATTTAGAATGGTGTTTTAAAATTTCTAAATCTATAAAGATTTTTTTAAAACTTAAAAAATTTTTGAAATAAAACATACATACAGAAAAGTATATAAAACTTATATGAACAAGGTAACGCATAATTAGGAAGCAAACAGCTGTGTAACCACCCCAGGTAAGAAAAAGTGTCTGAGGCCAGCCTGGTGGCGCAGCAGTTAAGTGCACACATTACACTTCAGTGACCCCAGGGTTCGCCGGTTCGGATCCCAGGTGTGGACATGGCACCACTTGACATGCCGTGCTATGGTAGGCATCCCACATATAAAGCAGAGGAAGATGGGCACAGATGTTAGCTCAGGGACAGTCTTCCTCAGTGAAAAGAGGAGGATTGGCAGCAGTTAGCTCAGGGCTAATCTTCCTCAAAAGAAGAAAAAAGAAAAAGTGTCATCAAAACCCAGAAGCCCCTGTGTCCCTCCACATTGAGAACCTTCTCTCTCCTGGCAGAGATGATCATTTTCTTGACTTTTGAGATCAATTTTCCTTATAGATTTACCATTTTTGTATGCATCTCTAAACAATATCAATTAGTTTTGCTTGTTTTAAACTTTATATGAATGTAATCCTACAGTATATACATCTTTTGTGTCTTGATTCTTTGACTCAACATTGTGTTTGTGAGATTTATCCATATTGTTGGGTAAGCTGTGGTTTGTTCATTTTTACTTTTGAATAGTATTTTGATATATAAATCTATCACAGATTCTTTATCTAGTCTATTGGAAAGGAACTTCTGGATTGTTTCCTATGATCTCTATGATACAGATTATTTGAAGTGTGTTAAAATTTGCCTTATGGCCTGTATGGAGCCGGTTTTTATAATGCTTCATGTAGGCTTCAGAAAAATGTATTTTCTGGCGCCAGCCCCGTGGCCAAGTGGTTAAGTTCGCGCTCCACTTAGGCGGCCCAGGGTTTCACTGGTTCAGATCCCGGGCACAGACATGGCACTGCTCATCAGGCCATGCTGAGGCGGCGTCCCACATGCCACAACTAGAGGGACTCACAACTAAAAATATACAACTGTGTACCAGGGGGCTTTGGGGAGAAAAAGGAAAAAAAAAATTATTTTCTAATGGTTGGCTGTGTGGTTTATGAATATTTCTATTCCCTATTGTATTAAACCCAGATTGCCTCATTTCTTTTTTCATTACCTGCCTGGCCTCTATAGCTTGAGTTTGTCATTTCTGGAAACTATTCAGGGTAAATCTTTTCTAAGATATTTTCTATATTAAGGAAGTCTGGGCTTGAATTGCAGTAGTGATGAATGCTAAATAGCAGGAATAACTTCCCAGCTACTTCAAATGGAATATCCCAGATATGGGTACTGGAGAGGGGTGGAAGGCCTGAAGGCCTTGAGGGGGCCACACTGTGGGAAAAGTGAAGAGCGTGGGTGGAAGACGGATGAGGCCTGACCTTTGTGTGAGGATTCTTGACATGATTCTAGGGTCAGGGTTCCTGTCATCCATCTGCTGGCCCTTTGGACCACCCAGCCACTGGCATGCTTTCCAAGTCTGTATCCATGAGTGGCATCAATTGCTTCTTGGGCTGCTCAGATCCAGCTGGTGAGTAAAAGTGGGGAGCAAAGCCGTGATGCCCCTTCCCCTTTCTGTCTCGCCACCACTCCTCCGAGCCAGCTGTTTAGGGTCCAGAGGTCCTGGATTATGTTTAACCACACACTCTTGGAAACCCAAAAATGCCTTTATTCACATGAGAGATCTGAATTCAGACCTTTGGCATTCTGAGACTCTCCTTTCCAATGAAGGAGGACATAGAACAGAGTGAGCCTCTCCAGCTTCCCCTGTCACCAGAGATGGAGGACAGTTACCCGCAATGTACCTTGTTGTCAAGATGAGGCATTGGGAGCTCAGTGTGAAACTTCTGCCCTCCCCACTCACCAGAAACAGAACGGAGACATCCATGCCTAGCCCCTCGTCTCCACATAACCCTGGTGCTCAGTTCCCTGGCTCCTAAATTCTTCAGTTCTGCTCAGCTCAGACCCCGCCCTCCCTCCCTATTCCCCAGCGCCCGCCCTCAGGAATGGCGTCACATGCACCTGCAGCTTGGGAACCTGATCCAGGTGGAACGGGTGGGGGAGGCAGCCCTGAGCACCTTTGTCTGGCTTTAGCTGGACACTTCCCGTCTCCTTTTGTCTTGGCAGGGAATTTATCCCAGTCGTCTGCCGCTGACCTCAGCCAAAGGTGAGTTTGGGGGACTCGGAGCCCTTCAAAGGCCCAGATTAGGGAGGGGCAAGGGGACTGGGCCCTGGATTTCGTAGCCCCAAGGGTCTCTGCTTCCTGAAACATTGCTCCGGTTAACATTTCTGATCAAAGACCTCCAAATATCCTTCTCTCTGAGCTGCATAGAATTTACCCTCTTCTCATTGGCCAGGGAAGGCTCAGAAGGTTCCCAGGAGCTCCATGGGATGCGGAAGAAATTAGGGAAAGAAAAGGAGTATCTAGACCCCAGGGTGTCAATTGAATAAAAGAGAATGGGAGTTGCTTGCTGTTGTCAGTGCCACAAAGGTGAGCTCTGGGACAGTCTTCCGGAGAGACAGTGACAAAGGATCATGGATCAGCTTGGATGGCTCAGATAACTGGCCAATGGGGAGTGGCTCTAAGGAGAGCTGGGCAAGAACTGTAGAGCCCCGAGGGGAGAGGGCAGGGGCTGGAGGCATAGTTCAGGAATCAGGATGGAGGCTGGGAGATTTCAATAACTACGTAAATAAGCATGCAAAATCAGCACCTGTTTATTTGGCTCCTATAGCCAGGCCTGATTGGAGTGGGTCAGCCCTCTAAGACAGTGTGGGTGTGTGAGCTAGTAATGGGCCCTTTAAGATATCAAGCTCTGATTTGTGGTCCTGAAAATCTCTAGCTGACACATCCTCCTGGCTCTGGGTTTGGGATTAGCTCATGGGATGGGGCTGATGAAATCCCAGGAAATTCAGTCCTTATTGGCTTTAGGCCCAGAGGCCCTTTCCAAACAGCAGAGAGGGTCGTACACAGGGTTCTTGTTTTGCGAGGGGAAAATGCCCCACTGGAGAGCCCCCACCCCATATCACTTCCGTTGGGGAGCAGCATGAGAGGAGGAGACTGGGCCTGGATTAGGTAGGAAGGGGAAGTCTGTATTTATCTGGGAGGAGCCTGCAGTTTTCCTCATAAACAGTGGGTCCTGGGAAACTGTAGTGTCCACATCCAGGAAGTCCTAGGAGGTGTGTGTGGGAGTGTCTTTCTTTCCGGGTCCTTCCTCTTTCTTCCTCACCCTTTCTCTGAGTCTTCCCTCTTGTATCTCCATTCTCTATCTCCTGGTCATGGGACCTTCATCTACCATCTCTCTGTGAGTATGTTGTTTTTCTTTTCCAGCTCTGCCTCCATCTCTTCACCTTTTCTTTTTCTTTCTGCAGCTGTAGCCAACTGGAAGGGGGCTCGGGAACCTGGGCAGGCTCCTCCCTGCGACGGACCCTCAGCTTCCTCTTGGGCATGACCGGGAAGGCCAAGGTAAGAGTCAGCCAGGGAAGCAGGAGGCCTGAGACCCACTGCCCTCCCCGCTTCTCCTCCTCCTCACCCCACTACTTGCGCCCCTCCCCCTCTTCCCTAGACAGAGACTCAGGGCAATGGTTCAAGTTTTAGGGGAACACATGTTCTCTCTCCCAGCCTCCCTCCCTATATCCCTGTAAATCACCTTTCCTCTGCTTTCTCCATGCTCCAGCTTAGCAGCCAGCTGTAGACAGCTGGAAGAGAGGAGCCTCAGAAGCTGAGGAGTGGCCTGGCCCTCCTGCTCCTTAGGCCTCACATAGCTAAGAGGTGGGCAGCAGAAATCTTAACCATTGGACATTATAATGATAATAATTACAGCAATACTTTTTACTTCTTCAGAGAATATTAGAGTTTGCAAAGTGCTTTTACACTCATAATTTTATGGGTGGATACAGCAGCTGAAGCAGTTGAAATTAGACCACAGGCAGAGTGGAAGCCAGGAAAGTATATGATTATGGAAGCACATGCACGCCATACGTGTGGGGCCATGTGCAGCTCTGACCTCAGGAAGGTGAAGGCACATTTCTTTCTTCCTTATTACCAACCCCTGGGCTCTGGTGAAACTGGGAGCTCTGCCTGCTGCTTGAATTCATTTCCACTTTCTTCATTTACTGGCAGAATGAGCCACCCCTCTTTTGCTCTCATGGCCTTCCCAAGTATGCATGTACTTTCCAAGCCAGGGCAGCTTCTGAGCATTGAGAGAAACCCCAGAGGAGACATCATCATATTCACCTTGAAAAACCATGGGATTCTCACTAAGTAAGGTTGCCTGGGCACCTCCCAGCCCCACCCACAGTGCCAGGGCTCTCTTCTCTGCCAGCCTTTGAGCCAGGATTCCCCTTCCTCTGGGTGGGCAGAGATGAAACCAGCTGGTTAGCACCTTCTCACCCAGGCCAAGAGCAGCTGGAGACTCTTAAAGGCGGGGCGGGGTTGGGGGGGGGGGTGCAGGTGGCCCAGTGAGGCTTCTTCTCTCCCGTGGGGAACAGAGCTCTTTAGAGAACAAATACCAAGACCTCGGGTCTGAGTCCCATCTCCCCACAGGGTCTCTCAATTCAGGGTAGGTGAGCCTGTTGGCGGAATCGCCCTCTTTTCCTACAGTGGGAATGGTAGGAGAAGCTGGTACTGCCCAGGGGAGCCATCCAGATCCCACTTGGTCTGAATTTTCCCACCCTTGGCCTAATGGTTTGGTGAGGGGTTGAGTAACCGGGTGAAAGAGAATGTGAAGCCCAGATAGGCCGAAGGAAAGAGCCAGAGTAAGTCAGGATACTGTCCCACTTGGCCATTCCTCACCAGGGTCTCTGGTCCTGTCCTCCTGCTTCCCTCTCCATCATCTTCTGGTCCATCTTCCTTACACCCCCATGAATGTGTGTACCTGCCTCACTAAATCTCTTCTGCCCCCTCCTTCCAGCTCAGGATAAGGGCCATGAGCAGGTAAACATCAGGGGGTGGGGTTGGCAAGAAGCTCAGTCAAGCAGTGAGAGAAGGAAGTAGCTTATTCCTTCCTATTTGATTAGCATTGTAGAGTTGCCAAACACCTTTCCGGAGGTCATCTCATTTAATTCTTATAACACCCTGGCAAAGATAAGTATTTTATTTTAATCTCCATTTTATAGACAAGATTACTTAGAGGCTAAGTTACTTGCCCAAGATCCCACAGTTAGTAAGAGGTGGAGCGGAATTGCAAACCCAGAGCTTTGACTATATAATGTTGCCTCTGCCTCTGCCAGTAAACCTAACATAACAGTTTATCCCCCCTCTTCCCTTCTTCCACCATCTTTTTTTTTTTTGAGGAAAATCAGCCCTGAGCTAACATCTGCTGCCAATCCTCCTCTTTTTGCTGAGGAAGACTGGTGCTGACCTAACATCCATGCCTATCTTCCTCTGCGTTATACGTGGGATGCCTATCACAGCATGGCTTGCCAAGTGGTGCCATGTCCGCACCCGGGATCCGAACCGGCGAACCCCACACCGCCGAAGCGGAATGTGCGCACTTAACTGCTGCACCACCCGGCCAGCCCCTCACCATCTTCTGATGGATAGCCATTGGAGTCAATTATGCCTTAATCATGCCCTCCCAGAATACACAATGTCCAGAGTAATAAGAAAAACAAACTTCCTCTTGGGCACTGTAGTGCTTGGGCCCACATAGCCCCATAGCTCTATCTGTTCACCTGCTGGCCAAGACTCCAACAATGAGTTTCTTCCCTGGGGCCAACTCCCCACCCCTGAAATGTGGGGACACATTTGTCAAGTTAAATGAGCTAAAGAAGGTGGTGGCTACTTTTTGATTCTGGCAGAAATTAGAGTTGGCTTTTGTTTTCGTGTGTCTGAAAAAATAATTTCTGAAAATCTGGGAGGTATCACTGCCTAGGAGTGGAGGAGGGATGCGAGTGGTTTGGACGAAGGGCAGGGGATGCCAAGGAAAAGGGTTCATTTTCCAGAGGATACAGAAAATGGAATTTAAGTCAAGCTGCAGGCCTAGCTCACTAAAAGTCCAGGTGTTTTTAAAGGTAGAATGGTTTCCTTTACCCACCCCCCAGCCCTCTTCCTTGCTACTCATCCTAAGAGGAAGAAGAGGGCAGGGTCACCAACAGCAGATGGGATGGAAAAAACACTGAAGATGGGGGTGGGAGACAGAAAAGAGTTGGAGGGTTAGGTCCTCTTCTTTCATAGAGACCTTTTTCTTTCTTTAAAGATTTTATTTTTCCTTTTTCTCCCAGAGCCCCCTGGTACACAGTTGTGTATTTTTAGTTGTAGGTCCTTCTAGTTGTGGCATGTGGGATGCCGTCTCAGCATGGCTTGATGAGCGATGCCATGTCCACGCCCAGGATTCGAATTGGTGAAACCCTGGGCCACCGAAGCGGAGCGGGTGAACTTGACCATTCGGCCACGGGGCTGGCCCCACATCAAGACCTTTTAAGTTGTCTTTGGGGACTGAGAGGTCACTCAAAAAACCTAGGGGTTTAGGTCCCAGGTTTACTGGATACCCAGACTGGAGTTTGGCCCTTTAAGATTCCATCCTGGGAGAAAAGCTGAGGTCCCAGCCCATCCCTTGTCTCTGGACCCCCTAGGGGTGGAGCCATGAGGCCAGAATTCTGGTTTTTGGCTGTCTGCTTTTAAATTTAGTACATTCCTCAGTCTTGGCTGCCCACTGCGGGGAGGTAAGTCTGGGGATCTGGGCCCGGAAGACTCAGGACTGCTGGTTTGGGGACATTCCTAGGGCCTTCCATTAGGTCTGCCTTGCAGGTGCAAGCCTGGAGGACTCAGCCTCCCCATGGCTCTGGGAAAGTCCTTTCTGCTTTCTAATTTCCATCTAGCCTAGAAAGGGCATGGTTATTTGCTCTCCTTTTTTCTGGTCTTCGCTATATAAGGATCCTAAACAGGGGAATGGGTGAAGAAGGAGGTGAAGGAGTTGCTAGGCAAGAGGGGAAGCCAGAGGAGCAGTGTGGGGGTGGTGTTGGGGGTGAGGAGCCCAAGCAGCTCAGCCAGTGGTGAGGCAGTAGAGCCCAAAATAGTGGCAGAGGCTAAAATTGGCACCTACAAGAGTGCTGAGTTGGGCTTGAAACCTGCAGCCTGGCCCTGCTGCTGAACCCGGGAAAGGAAGCTGCTGGATCTGGGCTGGGCCTCCTCTCTTCCCCTTCTTTGACCCCCCACACCTTTTAGGACCAGAATCAGGCAGGACCCTGCAAACATAGGATGCTCTGTCCCAGGGCTCTCCATGCTTCTGCTTTCACCAGAGAAATGGGAGACCCTGAGAGGCAGAAACGAACTGCAATGTGAGTGATTATAGTTAGAGTGGAGAAGGAATTTTCTCAATAGCAGGAAACTCACCAAGGGTGGAGGTTGGCTCAGGCTGGGGCAAAGAGTCCAGAAGGAAGAATGCTCCATTCCACCCCCTTCTTGTGGAGAGACTGGCCCTACCCCAACTGCCCCCTGACTGGGGGAGGCTGGTTTCTGGTCTTTTGGCTCTGGCCTAACTTGCAACAGAGAGAACTGGGATTAGACACAAGGAAGGACTTCCTCAGCTTCTTAGCCTTCAGTAAAGGTGGCAAATTCCTCCCCGCCCCGCCAAGTAGGTGGCAGAGGCGGAGCTGGAGAGGGGGATGGGCAGACTGCGGTCAGGAAGGCCCCAGCGTGGTGGGGGCTTGTGGGAGAATGCGCTCCTCTCCCTGTCTGATTCTTCGACCTCTGGGAATGACTCTTCTCCTTCACGCTTCTAAAGACCAGGCTTTAGTTCCTCTTTGATTTTCCCGTCCTCTCCCCTCCCCTGCCCCCAATCGTAAAAGGGGTCAGTCGGCTCCGGCCTGCTTTGATGGGCCCCCGAAGGCCAGGAAGGAACTGGTGCCGGATTCCCTGGAGAGCTGGGGGCGGACGGAGTTCTCCGGCCTGCGGGTCTTTAAAGACTGAAGTCCCGCGCAGGGGGAGGGGGTGGGGAGGGAAGACCTGGGGTGTGGCGAGGGCGAGGGCGAGCGCGAGGGCAAGGGCTGCGGGCTGGCCCAGGGTGGGTTTTAGGAAAAGCGGGGCTAAGAGGCGGGTCTCTGGAGCTAGAGGGCGCCCGGAGGCGCTGGAGGGGAAACAGGCACGGGGCCCCCTCGACCCGTGCGCCGACCCGGTGCTCGTCCAAGCTGCCCTGCACAGCCCGAGGCGTCCCGTCCCGCGCGCCGGCACCCGCCCTCGCGCCGCCCCGCCTCCCCTTCCTGAGCCGAGGCGGGGGAGGAGACTCGGTTTGAGGAACTGGCGCTGGGTGCCGGGCGAGGGGAGTCAGACTTCCTGTCCCCGAGACCGACGCGTGCGGGGCGGACCCCTCCCCCGCCCTCCCCCCACAATAACTGGACGCCTGGGTCCGCGCCGCGTCCTCCCGGGCTCCCCCCGCAGATTATGTCTCGGATCGAATCTCTCACGCGGGCGCGGATCGACCGGAGCAAAGAGCTGGCGAGCAAGGTGGGCTCTGAGTCCCCTCT